AATTTCCTATAAAACAGTACCAAATCTACGAAAACACTAGAAAACACATATTAGTAATAAAAGTGACTCCGAAGAGCCAAAAATACTCCTAATTATGACCAAGTGACAAGGGTAAATCACTATATAAAATGAACATATCATCAACCTGACTCGGCTTTACATGTAAGCCTCCTTCACCCAATCTCAAGAATCACAATAGGAATAAAGATCACATCTTTGTAGGTACTCGTATGTTCTATGGAGTTGAACTATACGCGTTTTCTAGACCAGAACAGGTAAACCACTAAACCATCATTATTATTATAATAAAACCATGATTTAATGCTATCTAACAACCTATCAAACAAATCCAAAAAAAAACCTCACTTCACTGATTCACTCTACCCTCACTCTCTTAGCTGTACAGAAATAGGCAAAGAAAGCCACCCTTTTCTTCCTTTCTTTCTTCCCCCGCGCTCATTCCCTTCCCACCACCGACGAAAAACTATCAATCCCTTTTTCTTTCCATTTTCTCTCTCCTCCGCAAAAACCCTTCCTTTCTCTCTCCTCTGCTTCTCATCTAAATGTAAACACCTTTTTTCTGGAAAACATTCACTTTCTCCCTCTACAATCTTGGTTGAACAACAAGGTGGAATCTACCAAGAAGCTTCAACAATGGCGAGGCATGGAGTGTCGGTGATCACCTATAAACTCCTCGCTTCGTCGATTGCCATTGCTCTTACTCTTTTCTTTTCTCTCTCTTCCTTCGTCTTCACTCATAATCCCGATTACTCCGATGTTGCCACTTCTGTAAGTTTTTTTTGTTTGATTTAGATCTGTTTTTTGCAATTTTTGTTATTAAACTTAATCAAGTTTCTGAGATCGATCATTGTTTGTTGCTAATTTTAGTGTTAATCGATCTGAATTGTACTGTTGTCGATTTTAATGCCGCATTTGCTTCATTTAATTTCGTGTTAATTTGCACTGATTTGTTGATTTGCTTTTTTTTTTTTTCTATTAATGTTCTAGGTTGCTATTTAATGAGTAATTGTAATATAATTATAGCGCTAGTCGTTTTTTTATTGCTTATTTTGCTAAATTGTTTTGCTGTAAATTTAATGCGAAAGGTTTGGCATGAGATTGGAGTGCGATTGATTTGTTTTATTGTTAAGATGATTGAAGGCTGTAATTTCGTTTTTGATTTGAAAAAAAAAAAGTTTTTGTTGATAGATTGATTATGTGGTGTGAAATTAGGGTTATAATGCTCACTGGATTAGTGGTGGATCGACTCGGAGATCGGTGTTGGCACTTAAATCCGATCCGTTAAAGCCTCGTGTTGATCAAATTAAAAAGCAAGCTGATGATCACCGGAATCTCGTCTTGGCATATGCATCATATGCCAGGAAGCTTAAACTTGAGAACTCTAAGATGTTGAGGATCTTTGCTGATCTTTCACGAAACTACACGGATCTTTTAAGTAGGCCTGTTTATCGTGCTCTATTTGAGTCCGATGCTCTCTCTATCGATGAGTATCAGTTGCGCCAATTTGAGAAGGAGGTTAAGGAGCGGATCAAGGTCACTAGGCAATTGATTGCTGAAGCCAAAGAGTCTTTTGATCATCAGCTTAAGATTCAGAAGCTAAAGGACACAATTTTCGGGTTGAATGAGCAGTTAACCAAGGCGAAGAAGCAAGGAGCATTTTCAAGCTTGATTGCTGCAAAGTCTATACCTAAAAGCTTGCACTGCTTATCCATGAGGTTGATGGAAGAGCGAATTGCACAGCCAGAGAAGTATTCTGATGAGGGCAAAGCTCCTATGCCTGCATTGGAGGATCCTAACTTATATCATTATGCAATATTTTCGGATAATGTTATTGCAGCTTCCGTGGTGGTAAATTCGGCGGTGAAGAATGCAAAAGACCCCACTAAACATGTGTTCCATGTTGTGACAGACAGGATGAATCTAGGGGCAATGCAGGTTATGATGAAAATGAAGGATTATAGTGGAGCTCACATTGAGGTGAAGGCATACGAGGATTACACTTTCTTAAACTCATCATATGTGCCAGTTCTTAAGCAACTTGAGTCTGCAAATTTGCAGAAATTTTACTTTGAGAACAAAATTGAGAATGCCACGAAGGATACTACCAATATGAAGTTTAGGAACCCCAAGTACTTGTCCATGTTAAACCATTTAAGGTTTTATCTGCCTGAGATGTATCCTAAATTACATAGAATTCTGTTTTTGGATGATGATATTGTTGTGCAGAAAGATTTGACTGGGTTATGGGAGATAGATATGGATGGGAAAGTAAATGGAGCTGTTGAAACGTGCTTCGGTTCATTTCACAGATATGCTCAATACATGAACTTCTCACATCCCCTGATCAAGGAGAAGTTTAATCCGAAAGCATGTGCATGGGCATATGGTATGAATTTCTTTGATCTGGATGCGTGGAGAAAGGAAGGTTCAACCGAGCAATACCACTACTGGCAAAACATGGTAAGATTCCTTTGTTGATTGCGGACATTATGTTATGAATGCCTTTATCTAAACTTGAGTTATATATCTCTTTCAGCTTATGTTCTCTTGGTTGATGGTAACACATGTATAAATAGTTACAATTATGGTGAAGCACTCTAGGAGGTGATTCCAACCCCAGTTACAATAACTAAATAGTTTAGTAATGTGTTAGGAAGTACATGTCTACACTCTACAATTCCTGTCTTGCAGTTGTCTCATGATTTTGGTGCGCGAGTGTATGTGGATGCGGTTGTGTGTTCATAATTTGATACTTGGGTGCAGAAGAAAAACTCCTGGCAAATTGAAGTCAGATGAATAGAATATTTTAGATAGCATATTCAGTCTTCGTCTTAGGTTAGATACTGCCAAAGTTGAGTGAGTGACTTGAGGAACCATGTTCTGTATCCTCTTGACAGTGCTCGAAAACTGCGGGCTTTTTTTAATATGGATCCATTCATTAACTAATAAGGGTGTTTTCGAAAAATGTAGTCTTTCTGTTTGTTTGCTAGCTGAAATTTGGTTAAAGAGTATTATTGTGCTATTTATTGACAACAATAATTTCATATTGATGCAGAATGAAAATCGAACATTGTGGAAACTTGGGACCCTGCCCCCAGGTCTGATCACATTCTATTCGACAACCAAGCCACTTGACAAATCATGGCATGTTCTTGGACTTGGTTATAATCCAGCCATTAGCTGGGATGAGATCCGCAATGCTGCAGTTGTGCACTTCAATGGAAATATGAAGCCGTGGCTTGATATTGCCATGGGCCAATTCAAACCACTTTGGACAAAGTATGTTGACACTGAGAACGAGTATGTCCAGGGTTGCAATTTCGCTCTTTAGTTGCTTTTCTTTGGAAAAATTCACTGAATATTTGCTCGATAAAGGCGGTCAAGTTCGTAAGGTTCACTTCATCACTTTCCACTTACTTGAAAATCTAGTTACTTTCCATCTGCAATGTAGGAAATTTTTGGTCAATTGTAGAATTCGTTCATGCCATATGATTTAGCACTCAAGCTCGGGTTTTTAATTAGCTGTGATTTCCAATCGAGGTAACTTGATAATTTGTTCATGTAAAATTTGACAGGACTATAGTTCAGAATTCATGTTACACAACTAAATGTATATTTTGCTCATAAATATATTGCTCGTATAAATTACTGGCTCTAATTCATGTTCTTATTTTTGATACGTAACATATTTTGCCTTTTGTGGAAATTATTTTCCTTAGTCTGTAATGGCTCAGAGCAGATTATCTGATTCTTTGGTGGATTACATGCTCTAATGTTCACATAACTTTGTAAAACTGTGTCATCAGTCACACAAATACTAATGTACTATTATTCGTATTAAAGAAACAGGTATAAAAATTACTTGCTACTCGTAAATTTGAGTACAAGTACATTTATTATTTTCTTATTTTTGTACTTTGTATCATAACCTAGAAAAATACAAGGAAACAGAGGGGGAGCCATCTTTCTAGCACTGTTTTGACTACTGATGAGACTTGTGTTGTAGAGGAAAGATCTTCATAACATCTTGCCCAATTAGTCAGCCAAATTTACAATCGGAGCCTCTTTGTGCTGGCCAGAATGCTTATATTCTCTACAATTGTTTAGAATGTTTACGGTGGTTCTGTGAGGCTTTGAGGCAAAAAGTGAGCTTTGATGATGAACAGATTGTCATTAGTCGTTAAAGTCATGGTCATTTGTGCTAAAGATTTGATTTAATTAGGCCTTTTGGGGTATAAGACATTAAGACTAATTATTTGTCTATGGTCGATTGAGCCATACTTCCTAAGTCCGCTCCTGCTTAGCTTATTACTCAAAACAGACAGCTAAAGTGCAATGCTTCCATCGATTTCTGATGCCATTGATAAAGACTTCATTTTGTTTGGTGAGGAAACTCGGGTGTGAGTTTACCTAAAACCCTCAACTTGTGTATGATTGAGAAATTTGCCAGGTTTACATTTTCCAAAGCCCAAAGGTACGAGGTATAGAAAAGGGCGTGTAGTAACAAACAGGGCAAACACAGTATTAAGATTCAAGTTTTAAACTTATGTTGCCCTAATTTTATTTCTAATTTCTAACTCATACTAACTTGTGAACCAAACTCAGCCTCAAATCCATATTGTACAATCCTTAACTTTAAAGATGATTGCGAATTTGCGATGACATTCTACAGCAGCGGCAGCAAAATCTGTTAGCAGTTGGCGAATACCAGTAGGACTGACTTAACGTACCCATTAGTTAAACCAAATAACATGTCGACGCCATTGTTCATTAGGTGGTACTTTGATGAAATACATACTGCACTTTAATCACAAGGACTCCCTGCCGTTCATAAAATATGGTACTTTGATGAAATACTTACCACTCAACGCCGAACAAGAATCGATAGTAAAGTGCTCCTTAAAACAGTAAAGTAGAAGATCCACACTTTTTAAATAAGTCATAACTAAAAGAGGAAAAAACATGTAAACAAAAGAAGATGCAAAAAATCAATTCAAAGTCAATTCATTTTAAATACCAGTAATATCCTAATATACCACAATTTCAACCAAGATAGTAGCAAGACTCTTAAATACTTGCTAGATATACCAACTGAAGTTAGATCTTACATCACCCCTACAATGCACATTAAAAGGGTACTCTACTCAACAACATTCTTATACTATCTAGTGTATCTCCAAAAGGCAGAGCGGCCAAAATTTAGAATCGAGGAATAAAGAAGTAAAATATTCCTGTCAAAAAAAGTGACAAAAAAATCAAGCAGAAACTGCTCCCCTGAATAAACTATTCAATCTAATAGATAACTCAAACTCCAGGTGTAAATTGTGCTCTTGAACTTTTGATACCCGAACCTCCACCGCGACTCATCCGCCCAGCTCCATTGCCATTTTGATCATTCCTTTGAAACCCTTCACTACGGTTATGGTATCCTCGGCCACCTCCCCTGTTTCCAAAATCATTCCTGTTACCCTCCCCCCGGCCATATCCTCTTCCTCCCCCATAACCTCCATGCCCTCTACCTCCCTCACCTTTGAATCCACCACCACCTCTTCCTGAGGGGAACCTTCCTCGGATGGGTCCTGCAGATGAAATCACTCAACCAGATTAGTAAACCTTCAGAACAAAAGATATGATGCAGAATATTTTGAGCTGGGAACGGCATGATCCATGCCTAATGAAAATGCACCATCCATCAACTCCACAGGTCCCTCCATCATTTTTCAACCTTCCTTTTCCCTAGTAATTCTCCTTTTCAGAGTGGGACAGAGAGTTGCAGGGAATGAGACACAGTGGATCGAGCCAACAGACAAATAAGACCAACTAAAAATATTAAACTGAAACCAAACTTACCTCGGGAACCAGTGGACTTCTTTTCCTCTACCACAACTTCACATCCAGCAATTGTAATGGGTGAAGCCTGGAACAGAAAAATAAAACTTAAGGGCAAAAAAAGATACATATATATATCCAAGCTAACAAGGGAAGCTCTACATTATAATTCAGACTAGGGAAATTAATATCAATATTATCAGAAATTTCTGAATATTATGCTGTTCTGACAACCATTCTGAACATTACGCTGCTCTGACAACCATTCAGCTCCAAAAAAATTCCGCACAAAGCAATGACATTATAATACATTATTAGGCTTGAAGTTATAAACTTCAATAGAATCATTTAGAAATCAGAGCAACCTTGTACTAACTAGAATTTTAAAACAATTTTTAAATATCTATTTCATAGGTTTAAACAGAAAGCTAAAGATGTTTTTGCTGTCAAAGTTCCAATACAGAAAACAAAAGGGTGCAGTTCTGCTGGTCTGCGGACTAAAAATCAATCCAAAAATAAAATCTCAAAATGACAACTTATTTTAGACAACTTCAAGCCATGCTAGGAGTGATAGAATACATTAAGAAAAGGCATAACAGGAATTACAAGACGGTGAAAAGGCATACCTCAATGGCACTTCGTGCAGCACCAGCCACTTCAAATTCCACAAACCCAAAACTGAAAGTCTAATCCATATAAGCTCATAGTTTAGTAATTAAAAAAGGGCAAACCGGCAAAAACACATTCAATTAAACCAAAACCATGAATTTCAAACCTACATTGTTTTTTCGAATTTGGATGCCACCACTCTTAATTGGGCCAAAACCTTTGAACGCTTCCTCAACCACGAGATAAGGTACATTAAAAGGCAGATTCCTCATGTAGATTGAGTGACCCTCACCTGTCAAAAAGCAGTGTGAAGTAAGTATCAGTAAGTAATGAACAGTAACTGACTGTCTTCAGAGAAAACCATAGTCACGTGATGAAGCAATCATAAGTTCGAAATATTGGAATAATGGATAAGTAAGCTACCTTCTGGCTCGTGGTTATTGCCATCATCAACCACATCAGCACTGGAAGGTAAGTTTGCTGCCAAAGGAGCTGCTTTCACAGGTATTTGTTGCTCTTGAGCCTTAGGCGCAGATTTTGGAAGGTTCAGAGTTGGTGCAGTAACAGGAGTGTCTTTCATGACCTTTAACACCACAAAAACCAAGTTAACAAGAAATAAATGAAAAGAGGGAGGGTGGGTGGGGGGGAGGATCCAAAATGTTCTCTACTATATATACTTCACAAGCAAATAGCTAAAGTAGTCATATTAATCAACAAAACAATAGCATACACTAATTCCAATAGGATGATACATTATGATTTTTTAAGAGCAAAAATTGGGCTTGAAACTCAAACATGAAGTATTACAAACTATATTAATGCAGCCTTGTTAACTTCTTGCAAAATTGACAAATAAGTATCTATTTACTTTATACTGGCTTTTTCCGTTACCCTCCACATCCAGACAAAACAAATTTTCAGCACATGGAGGAGTAAGAATGTAAATTGTTTCACGGTGTAATATTTAGAGAGATTATCAGTTACTACTTACAATAGAAGCATACGACTTCTTAGGGGCCTGTGATTCATTTGGAAGTTCATCAGGAACTTTGATATTTGATTCAACCTCAACTTTAACTGTGGATTCAACTGCAACCTGTGGGTCAGTTGGAACTTCATCAACCACCTCGGCCACAGGTTCTTCTTCCTCTTCCTCAACTTGAAGTACACCATTCTCATGTGGATTATACACTTCACCATTGGACTCTTCAATAACGTGATTCTCTTGGACTGGTGGCGCCTCTTCTAAAGAGGAGCAAGAAAAAATAAAGTCAAGGCACGAAATTTCAGAAGGACAGGAAGCATAACTCCTATATAAAACTGATAGCAAATAGAAACAGAAACAATTCATACCATGAATCGGAGCAGTTGGTGCTATACTACCATTTTGCCTCCCATTTTGATGAGGAACATCTTCAACAAATCTTAACATGTCATTCAAAACAAAAAACCCTTTATCCTGAGGTGCCAGGAAAAAGGTCTGAATGAAACCCCGCTTCGATTCATCAGCATAAATCAAAGATCCAGTGACAAGAACAATCACTCCCCCATTATAGGATTCTTGCGCATCAACAAACTTAATATCTGCCTTTAAACTTCCATATGACAGTATCTTCGCATTGATAGCCTGGACAGTTGCAAAAAATAGATAGCTCATATGAGCAAATATCAAACAATAACCACTTTCCACATAATTACAAGAACTATTTACTGAAAAGAAGATTTGACAATTGCATATTAAAATCAGTAAAATACAAGACTTCCATGAAACTTATTCTGATCATAACACACGCTCGCAGAATACCCATATGTACCATATCCAATCAAAAGACAATAGAAGACCAAACACAGTCAAACCGTATAATCAAAATACAGTTAACCCGAAAAAAAAAACAACAAAAACCACGAAATTCAATGCTTCAGCCACATGGATTATTCATCAGCAGGCCACACGCAACCAACAATTTAATTACAAACAAAAAAAATAGGCAACAATTCTACTAATCACAAATTTGCATTAATAATTCAATAATAATATAAACAAACATCATGTTTCCCACATAGATCCAGACTACAATTACGTGGAAACTAATCACAACACACTGCAATATATAAATAAAACTAAAATAACTTTACCAAGTACACAATAATAAAATCTGCTACGTATATTATTATTAAAAAAAACAATAAATGACCCACAAAAACAAAATAAAAAAACAATAAAAAAAATCTGAGAAAAAACAGAAGCTTACATCCATGGTAGAAGTAAACCCCATAACACCATCATCTCCAGGACGACCAAGCTTACTGATATCCTGATAAAATCGGTAAACAAGTGCAGGAGATTGCTGAAGTATTGTATAATACTGCCTTGCGAAAGCATTTCCCACCTAATCACAACCAAAATAACTATATTTTTCAAAAAAAAAAATCAAAAAATACTAATTATAAAGAAGAAAAATAATGGAGTTACAACCTCATCAGGTGGAATGTAGGAACAAGGGGCTTGAGGTTGAGATTGAACTGTAGGTGCTGCCATATTTTCGCAAACCCTAGAATGTAGAAAAAATCACAATAAAAAAATCGAAAAAAATAAATAAAATAGGTTAACAAACTGAAAATCGGAAAAAAAAAATGCGCGATTTCGAGAGAAGAAGAATACCAATACCTGAGAATTGTAAATTAGGGAGGATTGATCGACGAAAATTGGGGAAGCGAGGAGAGAGAGAGGAATTGGGATGAATGTAAATTAGGGTTTGAGAAGGGGGATTTTCTCTCTCCTCGCCGAGAAGAAGGTGGTGGTTAGGGTTTAGAGGTGGTGGAGGAAGGAGGAAATTGCGGCGGCGGAGAGAGAGAAAGAGAGAGGGGAATTAAAAATAGGGTAAAAATAATAATAAATAAATAAAGAAAAAGAAAAGAAGGGGGAATAATTGTGTTGGTTTGTTATGAGAGGGACTGACGAGTGGGGGAGGAGAGTGAGTGTGAGTGTGGGTACTGATCCACTGTGACGAGGGGTGTGACTGTGTGACTGTGTATTGGGCTGTCATTCTCTCTCCTAATTTTGCTATTTTGGGAAATTTTTCAAATAAGGTTAGGTGTATTAAAATGAATTTCATATGTGGCATGTTGTGATTGGAGTTACTTGGTTAGGGTTTATTCGGTTATATCTATTTTGGGGAATAAAGCATCTATGTTTAGTCTTGTCACATTGCAAATACTCGATATATCCTTACTTTTTACCCTTAGTTCTTTTGTTGATGTTTACTGTACTTTTGCCCTTCTCTCTCTTCATTTTTCACTATTAAAAAAAGTGTATATAACCTCTATTGTGCAATATTAAAAGAACGAAAGAAGTAATTTATTTTTCTGTGTTTTATGTTACTTCTATACTTCTTACTTAATTTTCATTGAACTAATAATTTTTTTTTAAATAGAAAATTAGTACGACTATTCCCTTTATTCCTTTTTAATTTTTATGGAGTATTCTTTAAGCTTTAAAGTTCACAGTCCCTATACCAATAAAATTGTAAATTTAAAAAAAAATACGATGTTTAATTTTTACTTTCAATATGATAGTTTTATTTACTCATTTGATATGTTGCGCTCATTTTAAGAAATATAAATGAGCTAAGAAATTACCCTACTATATGCCACCTCTACATACACCTGGTGTATAAATAAATCTCTATTAAAGCCCACACTCACACCGCCTAATCTCATCTTCAATAACGTTTCTGTATTTTTGACTCTTTGTCCATAATGATCGTACTCATTTGGGTGTAGAATAACATCAAATTAGTTAAAGACAAAGGGAAGGAACTCTTTTTTTTTTTTTTGACACAAAAAGGGAAGGAACTCAAGGAAGTATGATGTTGCTTACTTTTTCAAATTTATGTGAAAATATTACGGTTTATTTCACTCCACTTTTCTCTCTTGTTTCTTTGTTCTCGCTCATTACTTCATTGGTTTATGATTTTCTTCAACCCCACCCCCACTATTCTATCTACTTCGTATTACACAACCATTGAGATTCTAGTGATAGTGTCTTCAATTAAAAATAAAAATAAATAAATAAATAAATAAAAGATTCTAGTGACTAGTGAGTATTAAGTTGCATATCAAATCAAATTCAGAAGGTGCATCTTCGTTGAGTTTGGTCAAGACCTGATCATAGGAAGGAAAATTGGCCCATTTTAGGTCAAAGCTTTTCACTGGGCTTAAGTCAGGCACAAAAAATGTCCCCAAAATCAACTATTTCAGGCCATTTTCTGGCCATGCCAAAATTAAGATGGCCAAACCCACGGCATATTCTAGCTGGCTGCACCACTCATCAAATACCCTCTTTTATACACCAAACACACATATATACTATGTATTACTGGAGTACTAGTATATATTACTTCATCTTCTTCTTTTAATCTTCTTCCTATTTTATTCCTTTCCTTATTTCTTAATTTTTACATAAATTTTTCTCTTTTTTTCCAAATTCTTTACTTAATTCTTAATTTTGATTGAAATTTTCTCTCTCCACTGTAATCGGCATTATCTTCTTCTTTTAAGATTTTCTCTCTCCTCCATTTTTTGTATTTTCGTTGATTCGTGATGGATTTAATTGGAATCTTGAAGAGATTGTTGATATAAGGTAGTTTATGTTGTTGATTTGTAATTTGGTTTAATTGGTTATATTTTCTAAATTTGTAATTGATATTGCATATATAATTTTTGGGTAATTTGCCAATTTGTAATAAGTGATGAACACAAATTGATTGTAGTACTTTTCTCTTCACCTTTCTTTCCTATAATAATTTAATCAAAATTTTCATCAAAATTTCGATCATAATTTTCATTAAAAATTTATTCTCCTCTTTTTTTTCCTCTTTCGTTCTTCATTTTCTCTCTCCTCTGTAATTGTATTTTGTTTAATTTCTATCAATTTGATCTATGTATGAGTTTCGATTTTTTTTTTGTGGTGATTTTGTAATGAATTTTGATCAATTTGATTAGGTTTGTGAACACGCAATTCATATGAATTGAATTTACGGCCTTTAATTGTGAACATAAGAAAATTGAAAAAATAAAAAATAAAATGATTATGAAATATACGCATCAGTATTAAAAATATGAACATATGCACTAAAAATATGAATATATGCATTTTAAAAAATGAACATACGCATTCAAAATATGAACATATGCATTGGTTCATTTTTTGAATGCATATGAACATAATTAAGCATTTTAGAAGGTGAATATATACATAAAAAAATATGAACATATGCATTTCAGAAAGTTTACATAAGCATTTCAAAAAGTTTACAAAAGGATTCAAAATATGAACATAAGCATTTAAGAACGAAAGTGAACATATGCAAAAAAAATATGAACATATGCATTTCAGAAAGTGAACACAAGCATAAACAGACAAAACAGACAAAATGAGAACATTTTATGAACATTAAAAATATTTATCATATGAACAAAAAATAATAATATTATGAACATAAGGTATACGTTTGATTTCACTAAATTTTTTAACAATTCCAATAAAAATTTCGTACAACAGAGTATCGAACAATATTCAAACAAAATTAAGTGATATTCTATAAATTCAAACAAAATTAAGTGAAATTTACATAAAATTACCTTTTTTGGGAGAATCAGTCTAAGTTTCAGCTCATCTCAAATATCCATGGTTGTTTTGGAGAAGAGAGAGTGAATTGCGTCTGATTGTAAGAGAGAGAAAGTCAAAGAGAGGAGTAATAAATTTTAGAAATTTAAGTTTGAGAGTGACGATTTTTTTTAAAAAATTATATTTTAAAAAAAATAGCTGGGAAGTGACGATTTTGTATAAATGATATTGGGTGGGCTGCATTTCAAAGATATGTTCAGTTTTTGGGTGGGCTCGTTTTGGTTTGAGTCTTTTTTTAATGAGGCGCGTTTGAAATTGGGCTTGTGGGTTGGTGTTGCAGCTAAAATAGCTGCATAAGGGTGCAACTTAGACCAATTGCAAACCCAAAAAAAAAAAAATAAGGGCCAGCCCTAGCCCAAAATCTGGGCCCAAAAATCTGCCCAAACCTCGACAATTTTTGGGTCAAGTAGTTGATATTTGCATCACTTTCACTTATATACATTTCACATGCTCTTTTTGACTTAAGCTTTTTAATATAATGAATATACTGTATGTATTATGTAATATACGAATACAATTTTACTAATAGGCAGTTAAGGAAATTAATAGTTAAACTTATGTCCCAGCAAATGTTCTACTGTTCTGATCAAAGTAATGCATACTCGTATTAAAAAACGGAAGAAGTAGTAATAAAGTATGTCATTTTGAAATATGTACTCCGTAATAATCATTGAAATTTGAGGTTAGGTCCTTGACGTATTGGTTAAGAGGATTAAGACTTGAGAGCCTGTGTACAATAGGTCACATTTCAATTCTCTCACCTCCATTTGTAATTTGTATTGCTCTTGAGGCTCATCGGGAAAAAAAAAATTAAAAAAAATGAACCAATTACATTTAGTACCTACGTATCTACGTAGTATATTCAAGCTTCAATAACATAATACTAAAACTGACACCAGTAATGACACGTGTCACTTCCTAGTGTAGTTTTTTCCCTCCAAAATTTATTTCCACAAAAAAAAAAAAAAACAAAAAAAAAAAATAAAAAAAAATTATATATATATATATATATATATATATATATATTAATGAAAGATATTCTTAATCATTCTATATATTTTTTTGTTCACTATGTATTTATGGAAATAACTAAAAATAAAAGATTATAATAGACTTAAATAACTAGACTTTATAGTACTAGATTATATTATAATACTAGTTTAGGTCCCGTACATTATACGGGGATTACTTATAATTAAGTTATTACAAAGTATAATATTCTATATAAGTAAATTATGAAGTATAATATTGTATATACATAGAATATATTCTCTGAAAACTTGACAAAAAAATATTGTAAAAAGATATGTCATATCATTTTTAAGGAATAGGAAGTATATATTTAGAAAAATTAATCAAGATATTTCTATAACATTTGTATCACTAATTTCGTAAAAAAAAAAAAATTAACAAAAAAAACTAAAGACACACCAGGAGATGACATGTGTCATTGTTGGTGTGTCTTTTAGTATATAATTATTGATAATAATAAAAGGAACTAATTTATCGTATACATTATTTATCGCATTCAACATAGAATGATTGTTTAAATCAATCAACCATAAAAACTTTGATAACTCAATATTATATTTAAAATTGATATATCAAATATATACATATTTTTCCATCTATATATTTTTGGCATTAATCATACATAAAAATTGCATGAATATGTAATTATCTTTTTTTTTTTTTATTATTCAATCATAATATTTTAGAGCAAAACTATACTTTTATGAGTAAGCTGTAAGCACATATTTTTAATTCAAATAATTGATATTCTAATAGAAAAATTATCTAAATAATGTGCCACTAATATATTTTTTTAGTATATGAGTCATATTTTAGTGAATTTTAGTCAAATTTTACATAAGCCTTTTGAAATAACTAATCATTTTCTATAGCTTTATATAATTGATTTTTTTTTTTTGTAAAACTTATATATTGAGTTTTTTTGGTAAGGCATTTACTAATTTGAGGTGTTTATGATAAAATTGATCTGACTCCTTCTAAATTAACTCCGCCTATATAGTGTTAATTGAAAATTCATTCCATAATTTTTGTATTGACCATCACTGTAATTATATATACAACATGTAATGATGCATTTATTAACATACTAGAGTCCAATTATACTCAATATTTAAATTTATTTTAAATTATCAAAAAAATAAATATTTTTTTAAAATTGTGCATCGCACGGGCACTGTACTAGTTGACTAATAAAACCAACCCTGTAAAAGATGGTGAATTACTAAATTGGGAAACTTGTTCATGCTCTCAATCACAAATGATTATAGGAATGAAATCACACATGACTAAAGGAATGAAAACACAAAAGAAGCGATTTAAATGAAAGATAATGATTAAATCTAATCTAATATATATAAATAAAGTAGACATTTTTTAAGAGCATTCGGAACGCAACATAGAAATATACTTATTTCGACCAATATGAAGAAAGATTTGTATTTTATTTTTGAATTAAAAAATTATGTCGCCACCTAGGTATTAGTAACGTATTAGATTTGATATATCTAAAATTTTAATGCCACGTAGATTATAATCCACGAAATAAATTATTTTACTGAAAAAAACAAAGTAAAAATATAGGAAAAGATAAATTTATTAATTCAATACTACGAGTATAAGAAATCCAAAAAAAAAAATATACTAAAAAATATTTAAATGATAAACACTTAAAATAAAGTTTGATACCTATCATTATAAGATAAATTTTGATAGTATTTATGATAAGAAATACAAATTGTTCGTTAATTATAATTAAATTAAAATTTGTGATACCTACCATTATAAATTGACACATCATACGACACAAACAAAATTTCGTATCAATAAAAAAACCCATCAAGCGAATTTTGTGTTAGTAATATTGTGTTAATTTTTGGTCATCAATTGCCTAGTAATTTTTAGCTTAATTTTTAAAATCCTATGTTTAAATTAATATTTCTAATTATTACTTACATTGTATTAATTTGGGATGCTCGACGATTATACGTTTATGTTTTATTTACTAAATGTTTTTTTACATGTAGATCTAACACATCATACTATACGACACAAATAAAATTTCGTATCAATACAAAACCCCATCAAGCGAATTTTGTGTTAGTTTTAGGTTTCAATGTCCGGGTAATTTTTAAAATCTTATGTTTAAATTTATATTTGTAATTATTAGTTACATTGTATTTATTTAGGATACTTAACGATTATTTGCTTATGTAATGACATACGATTAGATGTTGTATACTTAATATATGGATGGCTTTGGTTATTTTTGGAGATGATGAAAAAATTCCAATGCATAGATTTGATTTTATATCGCAACAATTTTTCATTTATTGGTAAATATATTGATTTATTTTATATAAATGTAACGATTTAATTTATATCAATTCAGTTTGGCTAACATTTTACGGTTCAATTTATCCATTGATGTAGTACATTGGTTGTGGGCGAGGTTGGTGATTCTATCGAAATAAAAGATATGTTAAAATAATGAATAATGATTTAGGATCTAAATTATTAAAAATTTACCATTTCACATTAAAGATTTTATATAACGGAAAAAATATCATATTTACAATTTATTTATATTTAATTAATAAATTCATTATAAATTATAGTAAAAAAAAAAAAATATTAAACTTTTGTAATTTTGTCTGAAATTATTAAATACAATAAATCAAATAATTAAAAATCTTAGATGAAAAAACCGTGCATCGCACAGACTTCCACCTAGTATATATAGAAAGAAGCAGAAATAAACTTGTTCACGAAATCAAAATCCAACCAAGTTAGTTAAGACTTGAGAACAATCAATTCTTTCCTCCCCACATTAATGCCAAATAGGCAAATACCATACATGTTCTTCATCGGCCGCCTATAACATGACCTACAAAAGAAACTAAAAATGATATTCGGGTGGGTATAAATAATAAAAAGATCTTTGATTTTCATCAAAGACAATTACTACTTCCTCCTTTCCTGGGCCTAAAAATAAATGTCTCACATAACCTAAGGAAGAAAAAAAAAAAAAAAAATTTAGATAGATATACTCCATATTTACCAAATTTTATTTATTAATATGGACGGAACTACCAAATAAAAACACCATGTGGCAATTAAAAAGACATCATAATGTTCTTCTAAATATAGCAGTTTATATGCTTTTTAGATGTTTCAGTGTTCCTGAAGCTGATGCCTTTTTCCCTTCTTTATTTTGCGTGCATTGCTTGAACTTGTACACCGCAAAGCTTTATAGGGAAATTAACTTTGTAGTTTGTACAAATAAATCTATGGGCGGTCGCAAAAATGTGCATGCATGTATTTTTAATGAGACTGATATTGGCCAAACTTCAAACTCCTACGGGTTTATTGGTCCGATATTTCAGGCTATATACTTGTAAGTAGGGAGTGAGCTAAGAGAAACCCCACCTCCAACTCCAAGTACCCTTAGAATATACGGTAAGACGCTTATTATGTGAGTCAAGTCTTACTCAAGCTCATACTCCATGTAATACAAAGAATAGATCCATGTTCATCATGTGACCTTTATAAAATTGAATTTGTGCTCGCATTCACCTTGATCACCTATAGGTTCTCGAATTCTCCTATAGGTTCCCTAATACACAATTGCAACATGTCACTTTCGATATGTTTTTTGTAGTATTAAATCCATTTTAACAAAGTGTGCAAAGATGATTTAAGAACCTTAAGCTTTAAACTGGCTAATTAGGCAAGCTGAATTGAATTCATGATAAACATTACACAAAAGTATAATATTATAATTAACATCCAATGAACTAATTCAGTTAGATATAAAAAAGTTCAACCTTCAGAACAAAGAATTTCCTATCTATACCCTGTAATGCTACATAAAGAAAGGTTGCCTGCACTACTTAAAAAAACTAACAGGAGTCTTCCGATCTCAATCTTCCTCCAATTTAGCAATACTCAACAGCTCATTAGGTTAGCTCAAGGGCAAAAGGAACCACTCTAATATGCTTGAGAGGGTATTCTACATCTACACCTCCAGCATGCTCCACGAAACCAGCTGGGGAGAATGATGCTCCATGGCAAACACATATAATGCTCACTTCAGTTTTTGAATATTTATACAAAAACCCGGTTAATGTCTTTCCATTGGGTCCATTTCCAGTGGTTGAAACACAAGGCATTTGAGAAAACAATAGTTTCTGCTGGTCTATTAGCCCAACGGGTTTTGGAGGCTTCCCAATTTCACCTTTGGCTTCTTTGGGGATTGTGGTTTGAAGAGTTTTGTTATGACCATCTGACAATGTATCATCAATGTTAGGTCGCGCTTCATTTTGTTGGCAAGTCATATTCAGTTTTTCTGGTGACTTAGAGAGTTGTCTTGAGCCCGTGACGAGTTCAATCTTGTTAGAGTATGAGCTGCACAATGGGGGTTTTGAGAGGTTTTGATTAGAACAGTTAATTTGAAGTTCTAGTTGTGATGAACAAGGTTGTAGTTGCGCAGTAGTACGAGTTGCCGGAGCATTTGTGGGGGCCAATGGCGAGTGAGGATGGCTTGAATGACTGCCAGCGTCACTGCTATTTCCACCTGACATAGGACAATTAACAACAAAAGGTCAGCTCAAATAGATCCCACATATGGAAACAGAGTTCATCACAAGCATTGGATAAACATCACAAGCATTTTTGCCAAAAACTAGAGAGCTAAAAGACTGATTTCATGGGGCGAAGAACCACAATATGGAGATGATTAGAACACAAAAAAAAATTCTGTGTTTACAGGGATACTCCGTATTTAGCATAAGGATTTATTAGAAAATGTTTCTATGGGTTGAAACTACTATAGTTATCAACTATGTAGTCATTGTATCCTCCTCTCTGACTCTGATTGTGTCAATTCTTCCAATTTGAAACCGTCGAGGATTAAAGTTAACAATCGACCTTCTTATATTCAAGTCTAAAGAATATAAACACTGCAAACTCTACACATTAACACGATATCATGTTTCTGATAGTTTTATTTGTACCTTCACCAGATAGATGTGATTTAACAGGCTCCAAATGAGTTGGTTACAATATAATCCAGGTTAAACAGAAAATCAACATTCTTGTCAACATGATTGCACTGTGCAGGTTATCACAAACCAACCCAATACTGATTAACAATATTAAATCTTCCAAAAAATATGTAATCATGTACAATATTTAAGCTTATCTCCATGGTCGAACAACTTGAATACTGACATAAACAATCAGGTAATACTAGATTACTCGAAGCCGTCACTCATGATGTCACGGCAAGAGAGTAAAATTCAACCCCGAATTTGCAATACATTCCCCTTATATTGCATACGTTATTATTTATAATCTAAGAATCGATCATTATCACAAATCAAATCTTAAGTTATCATCTTCCAAATCAATCTACAGAGCCAACTCTATAGAGGAAAACAATTAAGATCAAAGACTAATCTGTATCATCACTCGTAGTATTCCAATGTTTCTTTTATTAACTCATGGGAATCTAACCCCAATTCAGCAATGCATTCCCCTTAATTGCATACATTAATATTTATAATCTGCGCATTAATCATAATCACACAAATCCAATCTTATGTTATCATCTACAAAATCAATCTAAAACCAAAGACTAATCTATAAAATTGCCCTTTGTGATTCTGTATGAATACCCTCGAACTAAAACATTACTCATAATACTCCTAAGTTTCTTTTATTAATCCATCAAAATCGGATGATTAATATCATTATTCATTACCTAATAGTCATTGATTAGGAACACCAACACCGTCACCGTCCACAATTATAATTTAAAGCAATGTGTACAACTAGGTGTTCTTTGGCACAATTTAAGAATTACAACTTGATTAATGACTTTGCACCCCAAATTAAGAAATTAATACAACTTGCAAATTGCAATCAGTGACTCAGTGTCATATCATATCAACCTAAAGCATAATGTAACAACAATGTCATTCATACCCTTCTAATTTATTTTAAAACAAACCCAATTACACATTCTTTAATATATATATTAATTAACTATAATATCGGGATTACCTTTCTTAATCCTATGATTATTAAAAATATTATCTTTCTCCACCAATTGGATGATTGTTTATTTGATAAAATAACATTTGATTACTAACCTCATGTGGCTTTTTTATTCTAGTACTATTAACAAATTAATTAATCAATTAATTCAAAATAAATTAATCAAGAAGAAATTACCTGTGGCAGAAATACACTGGTAATTATCAGAAATTCCAGAGGAGCTACCGCTAGACATAGAACCGCCGGCGCCGGCGCCGTCATTCTGAGAACCGAAATTACCATTTTGCCCTTGACACGGCCAAACACCGCCGTTAACAACACCAGCATTCCACCCTAACCATGGCGGCGTCGCTCCCGGAAACCCTAAATTCAGAAGTTTCCGACGACGTTCATCCAGAAAATCCTCCTGTTGATGATTACCAACAACGACGTCGTTTTTAGCGGAAGATTTACGTTTCAAGTCACGCTTCAACTTCGCTTCATGGCGGCGGAGAGCTTGCGCGTCACGCTTCGAGAGGATCTGACCGTTGGGAGCGGAAACAAAGGAAGGTTCCAGAACATTCTTAGGAAGGTGAGATGAAGGTAGAGAAGAAGAGGAGTCATTGAGAGGGCGGAGAGAGAGGCTAAGCTCTAAGTCATCTTCATCAATGGCGGTTGGTGGTGTTGTTTTTGTGGTGGTGGTGGGAGGTTCGTCGGTTGGTGGGTTTTCGTCCGCCATTGATGAAGGTTAAGGAAGGTTTCTCTCTCTAAAAAAAATGAAGAGTTTCTCTCTCTAAAAAGCATGGGAGAATATATAACAATGGAGGGAAGGAAGGAGGAAAGCGTTTTTGTTTTTGGGTTGTTTTTAATGGGGTAGAAGAAGAAGGGGTTTAAAAATAAAGTGACTTTTTTATTTTATTTTTATTTTAGGGTGAGGATGACACGTGGTGGGACGAGAGAGGAAGGGAGAGATGGCTGCTAACACGTAAGAAGTATTTGGGAGGCGGGTTTGGAGAGAGAGAATGTGGCAAGTATTCTTGTTGTTGTTATAGCTTCTAAACTTCAACGGTGGTTAATTGTCTTTCTACTTCTTCTATATTTATAATTGTTGTTGTTTTTTGATGGAGGATTATTGAATTTGAAGTTTTAATCACCTCTTTGGAAATATGATTAGAGGGAGTAAATTCGTTTTAGTTATGATATATTATTGGATGAGGGTTTTACATACGGTGCATATATACGGAGAGTATAGAGAATGATATTTCAGATTGAGTGAGTAGAGAGGTGCATGTCATGCATGCGTTGAAATCAAGTGCAGCATAAGAGGTCCAACATTGTCCTCACGTGACATCGAGTTGAATTCCGTTTCTTGGTAGTTCTAGGCTGGCAATCCTGACCTGACCTGATAATCCGATCCGAAGTTACCGAGAGAAATTCAAATCCGACTCAAACTGAACCCGAACAACCCAAATTCGACCCGATTTGACTCAAAGTTCATATTTCGTAATAATATTAAGTTTTACACTATTTTTGATAGTTTGTAAACACAATCTGAAATTGACCCGAACCCGACCTGCTAACCCGAATTGTCACCCCTAGACTTCTAGGTGCATGAAATAATCTAAAAATTTATTTTTGTCGTTTTTATAATTATGTATCATCACCTCAATTATACTTTCACAATGTTAATGTTTTATAATTTTTACATATTGATAATAAAATATAATATTAGCACTTAAAATAATACAATGATAAGCGCAATATATGAAAATTATAAAAAATTGCGATTCCCCGATTTCTTAGGTTATAAATAGCTAACTCTTATCTAACTCTTTCTTACCTAAAGCAGATTCCCCGATTTCTTAGGTTATAAATAGCTAAAATTATAAATTTTTGTTGATTTCATTTATTTTATTATTGCCTTAGTTTTTAATTTCAAAAATCAAAATTTTGCGAGTGCGGTGAGTTTATTTCTTCGTCAATGCATATCGAGTGAAAATCATATTGTATGAAAATAAATTTGAGATGGATAGTATTTACTATAAGGTTCCTCGTGCAAATGAATGATACGATTGCATCAAATAATTAGAGTTCTTTCTCGATAACTTAAATATTGTACTGTGATGAATACATAGAGATATTCTTAATAACTTATTTAAATTTTTAGAAAAATATCGTTTACAGTTTAAATTTGTCCTTGTTAATTTAGATATAAATATCATATAGTTTAATTATAATAAAAAAAATTCTTTTCATGTCGAAATAAATAAAAACAGATTGAGAGAAAGAATGGAACCCACTACACATTGTATGATATGGAAATATACATGTGCCAAAGTAGGTAAGAAATAATAATTTCAATACGCATCGAAATGGTTAACAACTAACAAGTCGATATATCCGTCGTAATACTAGAAAAAAGAAATAGTCCATATCATACATTAGATATCATCATTTAAAGTTTTGCATACCGATAAAATATACCCAATAAATTTAATAGTTAATACTACCTCCGTTTTTTTTTATCTGTAACTTTGAGGAATATTTGTGAGACATAAAATATTCCAAAGTTGTAGATAAAAAAAAACGGAGGTAGTATATCATATGTCCGATTATTTGTTATAATGTTATACAATGGAAATTAGCTAGCTAGCAACCTAGCAAGTGATCTCCCCACTTGGAAATTATAGTTATATATAACCTTGCTTGGAAATTAGTTGTTGCTTATAGCTATTTGTTGATTTACTTGACTTATTTATTTAAGTTGTAGTATTATCAATTTTGTCACTGCCTGACCTAAAAATTCTATGACTACCACAAATTTTCAAACGACAATCATAGAATCATCCTGACTTGAAAAATTCAATATAAACAAATAATGAACGGTCAATATTAATGACTCTATGGTTTCTAACCACCTGAAAATTCAATATAAACAAATAATGAAAGTCAAACACATTCAAACAAAGTTTTTTGAATCAAATGGAAGTCAAATGCATTCAACAAAACTAATTGAATCAAATGAAAGTCAAATTCATTCAAACAAAGCTACTTGAATCAAATGAAAATCAAATGTATTCAAACAAAGCTAATGAAAAGATTATGACCACATCAAAAATCAATATCCAAAAGTTTCTAACAAAAATACAAACCAAACAAAGCCATACATTATTTTTTAATCATGTTATTGTATATATTGATATTTAAATACTTCATGTATAATGTTATTGTTGTAGTTGATTATGAAAGTTAGATTATTGTTCATTCAAGACCAAAAACCATCTATAATCGGAGTCGAGTTGAGTCTTAAGCATTCTATAACTTGATTGCATGGTGCAAAAATATTTACTTCTTATGACAGTTACGAGTCCCTAATCACCCTAAGCTACATGACCTAATCACATATTCACTTTGAATTAACAAGTACAGTTTCACATTAACACCGTGATATATATCTTTTAACTCATAAAACCTCAAAATATACTTGATTAATCTTTAGTTGATGTTGATGATGAACAACAAGTTAATCTTTTGATTTGAGAGCTATGACCTAATCACATTTTAGTTTTGAATTAATATATTCTCACGTATATTATATTAAAAAATAGTTATATAAGTCTTTTGAATTATAAAACCTCAAAAATTACTCCATTATTATACGTAATACTTAGTTGATGTATAGTCGTATAGATGATGAATGACAACTTAATCGTGTAACGTAAGATCATGACCTAATCACATTTTAGTTTTGAATTAATGCAGTTTCAATTCACATTAAAGACGTGATGCAGTTCTTTAGAATTATGAAAACTATGAAGAAATACTCCATTATACGGTAATCTTAGCTTAATTGATGATGAATAACCTACTCTCTTAGGAGAATGTCGTTCGTTTTGTTGAATCACGAAAGAAATTGCAGTATACTTATCTTGTAGGGATCTTGAAAATGAAGTAGTACACTAGTCAACATACATCAATCAACATACTCCACAAAAGCACGTGAATAAAATTTTCCCGCTGCATCCGCTGCATAAGACTCCTCGTCGACACGTGTCCATTTCAGTGGGTCCCATAGTAACAATCGAAATCCACCTGACATGTGACACGTGGATGACGAATGACAGCTCAAAGTAGCAGAGAAGAGTGCAAGGGAGTTTGACGATGATGTATGACCCATCGACGGAACAGGCGACACGTGGCGAGATGCGTTTGGATGAATAATTAATGAAATTCTAACTTTTTGGCGGGTACACGTAGGATGTGCGTTTTGGAGGGGTAAATTGGGGATTTTGGTAGGGGAATGATAAAGCTGTGAAGGGGTGATGCATGTTTGACACGTGTTGTGTACGTATTTTAACGTTCAATGAACTGTACGGGTTTACAGATGAGCGTGCTACGGTATGAGGGTCCCAGCTTCTGAAGACTGATGAGCTGTGAAAGGTCAACATACTACTTGCTCCGTGGATTAAGTAATCTCATTTTTTAAGTGTTACACAGTATTATAGACTTATAGTGGGTGATTTCCATGAATAATGTGAAAAGAGAATAAAATTTTATAAATACGCTATATTTTAAAAATTCTCAATGTATTGTCTATGTCAATAAGTGTAATTATTAATTTTTTATTTTCACTAATTGAATTAGCGGTTTCATATCATGTAAAACCGCTAATTGAATTAGCAGTTCTATGTATTGTAATATTGATTGGCTTGCTCGAGTAAATGGATTAAAAAATAAACCGCTAACGGTTTAGTTTAATGAACCACTAATTCAATTAGCGGTTTCAAGCTTTTTTTTTTTTTTAGAAAATCAAGTTTACAAAAGATGACGTGGACGGTATGCCGGGAATTTTATTAAAATGTGGCGTATTTATGGAATTTTATTCTCTTCTAACATTATGGAAATTGCCATCCGTTTTTTTAATTGCAACATAACTTTCATTGAATTTCATATGGTTGATTTGAATTTTTTAAATTTCATATTGTTAATAAATTATAAACTTTTTATTAAATATGGGCCTGTAACTATTAAATATTTATGTAATATGATATTTTTTTTTTTGAAAAAAATACGTACGTTATGTTGATTGCACATTTATATCTATATCTAATATCTATACTTATTATTTAAAAACTCAATCTGAAAAGATATATGTCCCAATTCTATTGCACTTCCATGTCTTCTTTTCCAACCAATGTGCCACATGTCTTCTTATATTTTTAATTTTTTTTATCATATTATCGTTCTTAACTCTTTCATTAAACTTATATTTCATCTCTCACGCGCACTTCAACTTCGTCTTCCCTCTTCAATTCGACTTTTCCTTTTCTCTCTTTAATTTAGCCCCTTTACCTTTTTTATAAGCCTCATTTTGCATCAAAGTCCCAAAAATTTAATTTCTTTAATTTTTTTTTTATATTAGGCATTACACCTGTAATATATTATTAGTTGGTATTTCTTCACTCATTTCTCAATGCAATTTTCTATGAACAACTCGTGCATTGCATGGGTCAAAAAGCTAGTTTTTGATAATTTATTTACGATTTTATGAATTGATATCAAGGTGGTAAAGTGGTTTCCTCTGTTTATTTAGTGCAATGGGTGCCAAAAGGTGCACATAACAAACCAGTGTAGATATTTTTCCCCATTGTAAAAAAAAAAAGAAGATATGTGGTTTATTCATTCCAAAGTACTCTACGGAGTACTCCGTAATAGTGACATGACCAATTGAGTCAATGGACAAGTTGATACTATGCCAAGTTAATGAATGAGCCCACCCATCTTAAATTTTTAAGTTGATAGTTTGATACTATGCCAAGTTGATGAATGAGCCCACCCATCTTAAATTCTTGATTAACATTACCACTTTAATTAATTCACCTTGTTGCACTTGCAAGTTGCTTATATGTCGAATATTGTTTATTACTTCCTCTGTTCTAAAGCTAAATTAGAAATGGAGTGATACATTCTTTTATCGTGTTTGTCAATGTAAAAATTTGATTGAAAATATCTTTAATAATACTGTATAAATACTAAAAATTGATTTTTTTTATTATTATACATATTGAAACAAATTTAACAAGATCTAACATGACTTTTTTTTTTTATAATTTTTTTTAATATATATATAAATTATAAATGTTTCGGAGTACTCAAAACAAAATTTATAAATAGTGTCAAAATTTAAATTGTGTTATTTAATTAAAAATAGAAAAGTTATGTTTAATAAAATTCGGGGAAAATTTTTGTCACAATTTCTAATATTGTATTCCAAAATGTTAGATATCTATATCTTGTACGGAGTACTACATTTTAGCTTTTCAAAATTTCACATCTCAATATACATAAACTGGTTTTTACGTACCTAACGTGCTCACTCTGTACTTCATGAGAAATATACGAGTATATAAAACAATATTGAGACCATGATTAAGGGAAGCTTATGAAAATACATTTTTGCTTTTAGCATAGAAATCATAATGTGCAGGCGTGCATGCGGCGAACAACCTTAGCACGGTGTGAGAGCTTGTTATATATATCCGGATGTACCGTACACTCATGAGTATTTTATTCTCATTTTGATGATTGTTTTTTATTTAATCATCAAATAAAGAGCAAACACTAACCTTGAGTATACGGTACACTCAGGTGTATATAATAAATTCTAGCACGGTGTCCAATTCAGAGTAGGAAAGCACAATTTATGTAGCTTATGTAAGGTGTACTTTACATAAAAGGATGATATTGATGATTTATACATCTCTCATCAATCATCATATCCAAATATCACACAACTGATACAAGTGAAGGTAGCCTCATCAAGCGTCGTCCCTCCATCACACTGTAAAGTGTAAAGTGATCATTAATAAGTTTTAGATATTTATATTTTGTTCAAAGTAAAAAGAATGAACGATTTTCGATATGTGTATACATACCTCTTGACGTAGTAATAACAAAAGTCTGCCAAGATGAAAGTTTGAACTAGCTCAGCAAGAGGAGCCACTAGTAAATAAAGACGTCCCCCCCCCCCCCCCCCTATTTGTGTTAGGAGCGATCCCTTGGTGTCAATAAGCTGCAGGTAATCGCAACATATACATTTTAATTCTTAATATAAGTAAGGAAAATGAAGGAATCATAAACAAATTTCAATATACAACATACAAATAGTTATAATATAATTAAGATGATGGATAGCATTCTGACCATAATCATCCAATTAGCGAAAGAGAAGAATCTTGCCACACCCAAAGCAAAGACATAATGGCCAGTAAATGGTTCAACCATCTGCAACACAAAATTTTAAAGACATAAGGGGAAAATGTCTAATTGATCATATACATTATTAGTGATATATAAGCCAATAAGGAAACTAGGAAATAAAAAATAATAATGACCAGTTCGAATTGAGCTTGTTTATGTGACCATTAAACAAATCAATAATAACTATATACTAACATATCATTTCCTGGTTAAAAATTTTCCCTCCAAAAGGTTTTATTTATTTATTTATTTATTTATTTTTTATTTTTATTTTTTGGCCAAAGCATCTTGGAAAAGTATTTAATATTTATTGTACAATATTATTTCTCTACCTATTTGATACAAATATTCCATTTATACATATTCATCAAAGATATTATTCTTTTGCACAATATTATGTAATAATATTTTCCTATCTATAACTTTGTTATATAATCCATGTTATTTTTATTATGTCGTGCATGCATGTACTTCTCCCTTTGTTTTCTTTAGTGTAATTTTTTTTTTTTTTTTTTTTTTTTTTGTAATTACAGAACTTTTATCCTATTTTGCAATTAGATATAAATTTTTATGATTAAATAATAGTGTTTAACTAATGATAAATATTGACAATTACTGTGCATGGCACGGGACCTACCCTAGTAAAAAAATTATTTCTAGAATTTTAATTTTTCATGCTCGTAGTTACATTTTTGGTTTATAAGTAGAGCTTCGTTCTTGGAAAATGTAACTTCTCGTGTTTTTTTTGCTAGCTAAACGTACAATTTCTTTCTGATCCTATACCTGTATGAGTTAGCTATCATGAAGTCATGCATATCAAAATTAGCATAACATGTAATTGTACAAACCTTGGCATTTTGTATCAAATGAAGCTGAGGGAGCACAGAAACGGCTTCAACTGTCAAGCCATAAACATAGAAGAGTCTCCTCACAAATTGAAATTGCTCCCTGAAAAAGTTGATTTGCCATCCAGGATGGCCTATCACCGCAACAACAGCACAAGGCACCAACTGCGTGCCATCACCAAACATATGGCATGTTATCAATTGTAACCAAATAGATAAAGAACGTTTCCATTCTAGACCGACCATTTTAATTTCCCCCTCTAAAGCCTTTTCTATTCTTTCGCGCTTAAAATAACTTCATTTAATTTGTATCTTCTACTCCATATACTCCGTAACATTTTGACTTTGATGTTGGGTAACATAATTGATTATTCATACGAATACCTTTTACTTCTTTTTAAAAGTCTTACAAAATAAATGCAATATGATAATACAAAAATGACTAAATGAGTACGAGTAATTTTTATAATAACACGATAACATATTTTTTTTTGATTAGTGCAAAAGTCAACTTTATTCAACTAATATAATTTAATTAGAGAAGTACATACTCTGTAGCTCCTCTTTTCGCCTCATTTAATTGTTAAATCTTGTTATTTTTGGTGGAATCTTTTTGAGACAGAAGGATTATAAATTTTAATAATCGAAAAAATTGCGCATGTGAATTAAGAACAAATTAAATACTTGTTGTATTTACTTACCACATAATACAAACTCAAGTTGTCAAGGCCTTGCATGTAGGTGTACTTTAATTTATTACGCATCATATAGATCACCCACATAGTAGATCCAAGAGTTAAAGTATCAAGTACAATATTTATATTGCGTACTAGTGTAAAATGGCTTATAATTCTTATGATTAAGAATATCACTGTAAGCTCTTGAGTCTTCAATGATAGACCTGTTAAAAACCAGCAAGGATTCATTAATGCGTACTTCATTCCATAAATTCGTTTTATTAAATTGCAATATTTTGACTTTTACGGCTATAAGAAAAAATCATGTCACAAAAGCAAGAATCATAAAGTTGAAGACACGTGGTAAGTAACTTTGGAACGAAGTATAATTGATCAACGAGTCATGCATTAGGCCACATATATAAAGGATGTTCAAGAATAGGACCATATATATGTATATATATATATATATATATATATATATATATATATATATATATATATATATATATATATATATATATATATATATATATATATATATATACTAATTTTATTGCGAGTTTAAGAAAACAGAGGAAGTATGTATATAATGATGAAAATCGAAAAGGAATGAAGAGGAAGTACCGGAACAAGTTTTGTTGATTGTGAGCTTATAAATTAAGACTAAGATCCCAGCAGAATGAGCAAGTTGTGTAGCAACATAGAAATGAGTGCGTTTTTTGACAAAAACTTTCAACAAAATTAACAACATAATTGCTGCAACCACGCCCATGGTTACTTTCTCTCTCACGGATAGACTCCGAATCCATCTCCCTAGCCGCTTCACCGGCGTCGGAGTTGCCCTCTTGTCCCCCATAATATCAGTTGTAAACGGAAAATATGAAAGGAGGTCGAAAATTAGTTAAGTTAGTTGACTATTACAAGATAAAAGGCAAAAGAAGAAAGGTTGTAGATTAGATTAATAGAGTAATGAAGAGAAGTTGATTACACATAGTGTGGTTAGGCTGACCGGGTGAGTTGGACGTGGACCAAGTTTTAGAAAGAGACTAGAGTAATTTTTTATTTTGATACAATTGCTTTTTATTTTTTCTCTGTTGACAAGCATTTTGATACAATTGTTTAATAGTGTGCGATGTAATCAATTTGGAGTATATTCATTTGTTTATCGTACTTTAGATTATTATTTTCGGATCAGGATTAAATTTCAAATAGGGTAATTAGACAAAGTTGGTTCTGGTTAGAAATGTTAGATTACATACCAGGGCTTAGACAAGTGTATCACTTGAGTATGTAACCTCAATGTTAAATTGTCCTAAATAAACTTTTTATTTAAAATTTAAGGTTAATTGGGCCTATCTGATAATATCATACGTATATACTTTCTTTCCCTTATTATGCATTTTCCGTTCACGTTTACTCAACAAAACCCACCATTTTTTCTCATCTCAACGAAGAACGATATAAAAATACGAATTGTATTTTACATTTTCACATGCATTTACCCAACATAGTTACATAGATCCCACCAATTCTTTCCCAAATCGTTATGCTTAATAGATATAGTTAGGAACTTGTTTGGAGTACACAGGGAGTACTTGAGCAGCTATTGGAAAATATTTTAGGTAAGAAAATCAAAACTTTGAGCATGATACACGTCAATGTATTAACTGGTCTATGAAAATACAATATGTTAAGTCTTGACTTTTTTCAAGTAACACCAATATTTTTGTTTTTGATAGTTCAAGACTTTCAAGTGAAAAAAAAAATCATAATGCTCATAAATAAACAAAAAATGCATTGTCAATGGCCATCTATGTTACTTAGACTCGGATACCCATATCCGACACAGCTATTTTGTGAAAAAATTCCATGATTTTGAATTAGAAGTGAAGGTATGTCCGAGAGTGTCGAGGGCCTGACACGGGTACGTGAGGTGAAATAAAGAGTCCGAGTAACATAGATGGCCATATAACTCTATTATGTCATATTACTCATATATGTGTCTATCATGTAATAAACAATAGAATTTTGATAAGTAATTGTCATCCTTTTATGGCCTCAATTATTAATTTAATAAGAGTTGAAACTATCCCTCATCTTATTATCTAAATAATCTCATGAAAAGAGTAGTTCGTTCCTTTTCTTACATAATTAATTAGTTACATACTCCTATGGTAAGGAGAGTCAAACCCATCTAGCTACTAAAGGTGGGTAGCTATATCAAATCACGTAATTGAAAAGGTTTATGACTGATTTCTTAGGCAAGGAGAATCGTAACAAACAATAAAGAAAACTAAAAATACATCATACAAACAAATCTAAATGCGTAAATTAAGTAGTAACCAAAAACACCTAGACACATACACCTAAAACCCACCCAAGCAAAAAATATACACAACCACAACATATTGAAATTAGGTTCCACCAACAGAAAGGCAAAGAGGCAACCAAAGGAAAGAAATTTCACCCACTTTAGGACATCTAATGGCAACTATAACCAAAAATCCTAAATTAGAGTGAAGATGGTGACTTTTTTCTTTTAGTAGATTTTTGTTACTTTATTTTTTATTATTATTTTTTTTTTTTATTTTTATTTTTTATTTTTTTTGCAATACTAAAGATCATCATTGTTCATTGGAGCCGAGGTTATATACTGTATAAATTAGACATTGTCTATAGAAGAGTACATAATCTTGCCGGTGTAGTTAACAGAAATTGGTTGATGACAACTCTGAAGTAGTTCGAAATCTATAAGTCTACCAGACAGAGCTGAGACTGAGAGCATACAGATATATCTTGGCGGCACATACATACAGAGAATATGGGAAACACAATCTTATGCTTTCTTTACCTCTTTATTTTGTTGGTTGGGGGAAGGGGCACACAGAAAGCGGTTGGGGGAAGGGGCACACAGAAAGCAAGAGTTTTACAAACTTGTGTCGATCTCTCCATTAATTTATTGCTGCAGCTCTCAGCATGTCCTTAGCTTACACTAGCGAAGGTAACCTCATCATGCGCTGTCCCTCCATTACACTGTAAATTCCATGAATAAGGGTCAAAATCAGTGCAAACCCATTGATCAGAAATGACAAGTATAATTTGAACTAACAGCGTGACAAATGATGCAGTTGAAGTATTGCAACAACGAATGGACAGATATAAAGCATTGTTGAGGAGTTTATATACCTCTTGACGTAGTAGTAACAAAAGTCTGCCAAGATGAAAGTTTGAACAACCTCTGAGAGAAGAGCCACTAGTATATAAAGATGTCCATCTCCTATATGTGTCAGGATTTCCCCCTTGCTGTCAATAAGCTGTATGTAGTTGCATCATATATAGTCAGTCAAAAAACCGTAGACAAGTTTCAATAAGACATATTATAGAGCATACTAATCCTGCAAACTAGAAATCTTCCATCAATAAAATACCACTGTAATACTGTGATTTTCCTCAAAAAAAAAAAAAAAAAAAAACCTTATACAGTGATTCAGCAGATCAGAAGAGCAGATACTGATAAATTTCTGTCTTAGGTCAATGACTTGTGTGTGCATTTCATCGCAGTGAGAAATATGCGAAACATTCCAAATGATCAGAAGTTAGCATATATACATCATCAACATTAGCTTAATGCACTAACAAGATACCTGCCCATTACAGAGCCGGGGCTTGGGGCAGGGGAGCCTGTGTGCTAATTCACAAAAGATTCTATGGTAGATTTGACAGGATCCATGATAGTGTTTGAATTAAATAGGCAAGTAACATACGCGCCAGGGGAAACAACAATCAGGATTCAATATTCAAGAGCATCACATTATTTATGCATTCCACCAATCATAGATTTCAATGTTTGCCCTCCTTAATTCCTTATTTTGGTATGAATAGTCGGGTGCATGAACAAAATAAATGCCATAGTAATCTCATGAAAAGGCAATGAATGAAATGTATGGTGTATGCTGACCATGAATATCCAATTTGCGCATGAGAGAAATCTTGCAACACCCAAAGCAAAGACGTAATGAGCTGTAAATGGTTCAACCATCTGCAACACAACAATTTTGAAGATGTTAACAAGGAAATTAGAGAATGCTTGCTAATAATGCTCAAAAAACTTAATCTCATATGTTCAAATTGTAAATCTAATCCAACTACTCTTAATAATATTGAAAATTCAATCAAACTCATGTTAACATTCGTAGCTACGTGTCAAGATCGAATATTGACACAACTTGAAACCAATATCTGGAACTGCAAGTAGTTCACCATAATTTAGACCTTTTGAGTTAAATACCATTCAACTTGAGACCAATTTGTTTACCTACATACTAAAACATGCTTTGTTAATGGACAGCTCAATTATGATCTAACTCAACTCACTATTATTAACATTCCAAGTCCCAACTCACATTCCTACTGAAACGAAAAAGAAATTTTAAGATTTTCATACAATATTCAATATATGAAAAGGCCTTGTTCAAGAAACAGAGAGGTTATGAAACATATTTGCAAAGTATCAAATCTAGGACAAGTATTACTAACCTTAGCATTTTGTATTAAACGAAGCTGAGGGAGCACCGAAACAGCTTCAATTGTCATAAGATATACAAACATGAATCTTGAGATAATGTGAACTTGCCATCCAGGGTGGCCGATTATTGCAACAATGGCACAAGGCACCAACTGCGAGCAGTAAACATAATCTGTCACTATCATTCATGCTATATATATATGTTCTATACCGTTTGCAATATACTTGTAGAAAACTTTAACAGATTTATCAAATATTTCAGTGATCTCAAGATAAATAGAGTTCTCTAAAAGTGACTATTCGCTAAATATTAGTGCATTTTGATAGTAAAATAGTACTACATTGTCTTTATACAACAACAGTTCGTTTCCAACAATACAACATGTTTTGAAAGACTTACTGTAAATCTGAATCTGAGTAGAGAAAGAAAACAAGGTTTACAAAAGATATACTTCGTATATATATAGTGGCCTAAGCAAGAGATCGAAAATTGGCTTACCACATAATACAAAGGCATGTTATCAAGCTGTTGCAAGTAGGTGCTCTTAAACTTAAACCGTATCATGTAGATCACCCATAGTGTACATCCAAGGGTTAGTGAGTCAAGTAAAACATGAAAATCGCGTAAGAAGCCAAAATAAGCTATGATTCTCATGATTAAGAATATAGCGGTTAGCTCCTGAGTCTTCAATGACAGACCTGTAAGATGATCATTAAGGATATGATTCATAAATATAGATTATATTATTAGAAGATTGTGTTTATATAAAGCTGTATGATTAATACACTAATTGTACAAGTTAGAGAGCCACAATTTTTGTTAGAAAAATTCTAGGTGTAGATGAACAAAGATCATTTGATTGCCACATTTATGTGTCTTTGCTAGTTAATTTTGAGGTTCCATTCTTTTATTGTCCATGTAATTCATTGCTTACTTCAGGGGTTTATGCAGATTGCAAATAGTTTTAGTAAAATCCTGATAATTTCTATTAAAGGTTTGGTCAAGACTTTGTCTATGCTAATAGGTGGCGTAGTCCTTAAATGATAGGTCACATTTGACTTTGATGGTTAAAACATAAAAAATCACTATGTTTATAAAACCAAATTAATTGCAAGTATATTCTTATCACCTAATTTTTACCAATTTTACTGTTTATAACTTACTTTTACAGTGTGTTTTGATAAAGAAAGAGGAAGGAAAAGAAGGGGAGGGAGGAGAAGAGGAGGGGAGAGGAGAATGGTGAGTTTTCCTTCCAAAACTTTTTATTGTTAATCCCTCCATTTCTCTTCCTTCCAATTCCCATCCTTCCTCATTTGTTAGAGTTGAGCATGAGCACTTATAAACAATAATTAACATTATAAATAAAGGTGTAAACTTTCTAGTTTTCAACAGCTAGATAAAGATGATAAGCCTAAACAATGACTCACAAGACTTAAATAAGTCTTAAAAGTCAATATAACCATCTCTCAAGTAAAAATTCTAGTATCACAACTCTTAATTAGAATAAAGTACCATATAATTTTTATTTGTTTAATCCGAAAGCCCTCATATATATATAAATTGTGTTTAATGAAAGCAAGTTCAAATTAGTTGAACCAAAAAGAGCATAGTATACCTAGCTTGTTATAACAATAAAAAGTTAAATCAATTGGAGTGGATAGATATCTACAAAACATTTTTATAGAAAAATTTATATATATATATATATTAAAAATAGCCATTAACACGAATCAAACAAAATCTAACAGGAGCATATACACTTATTGAGGGAGTTACTCAATAAAGATATCAAACACGAGGAACAATTAATCAAATATAAAAAAATTAGCTAAAACTTGGTGAAATTAAAAAAGGAAAAAGGAAGTACCTGAACAAGTTTTGGTGATAGATAACTTGTAAATCAAAACTAAGAGACCAGCTGAATGAGCAATTTGAGTTACAACAAACAAGTTGTTTTGGCGTTTGACAAAAACTTTCAACAAAACCAGCAACATAATTGCTGCAACCACGCCCATGGTCACTTGCTCCCTTACCGACCGGCTTCGAACCCATCTTCCTACTCGCTTCACCGCCGTCGGTGTTAGTGTCGCCGTTCTTTTATCCCCCATACTACTATTCCAAACAACAATGGTGTTTTGGAGAGAAAGACTGATCAAAGTTGGTGTACTGTTTGGAAAACTAGTTAATTTGGTTGACTAAGTGAAACACTTGAGCTTAAGCTAGTGTGATTTTTCTTTCTTGTGGTGAGTACTGAGTGAGTGAGTAGGATGTTGGAAGTGGACCACGTTTTAGATGTGACACATGTTTGTTATTCCCAAGTTGATAGGTTTTGATTTTCGATGGGACCTATGGACGTACAATATATTCTTTTCATCTCTAATTGTTGATTACCTCCTTCGTTTTTTGTAATTGCGGAAGAGCGAAATGGAGTATTAAATACTATAAGGACGGGGTGAGAATTAATCTAGAATCTTCTGAAATTAGAAGGGAAGCTCTAACCACTTGACCTATACCTTCCTCTTACTATTAAATATTATATAAGTGAAATGATTAGGAATAAAAAAATTAAAAAAGTAAGAGAGAAATACAAATGGAGATTGGAGACTACTAGGTATAGGGCCGTTGCAATAATCTATTATTGGGTTATTCTAATTTTACCTCTTTAATGTGCTTTTAGAAAATTTCAACTTTCACAAAAGAATAAAATAAAATAATGCGTCAGTGATAAAAAAAATAACACAATTACGTAATAATTTCAAACTAATACAACTCGATCTACCTTTATTTCGATAAAAAAAAAAAAAGATAAAAATATAACTAATACATTTAGAAATAATAATTAAAGAAAATAATTGAATGCCAAAAAATAAAAAAATAAAAAAAAAATAAAACTTGACTCGAACGAACGATGGGCAAAGCAGAAAGCACTCAAATAAGTAATTCACAAAGCAGTACGACTAATTGACCACGAGTTTTGTATTAGCCGTTTCGTAAGAATAATGAATAATTATGGAAAACCAAAACTAATTGCTGCCATTGTCACGAAAAATAATCGGTTGAATTTGGCTAAAATAATCTGTTAAAGATTCTTGAATGGAGAAATAAGCAATATAATTTTTCATAGAATTAAATTGATGTATTTATGACAAATCAAATTGAATAAATGGAAGAATATGGAAAGTTGTAGAAATTATATGCAAACTTGGATTAGAGGAAAAAGAGCGTGGAAATTGGAGAAATGGAGAGTAATGCTTCAGTGATATGGTGGGCTTGAGAAACAAGAAGGCAGTTTGCAACTTTTATCAAAAAATAAATAAATTAAATAAGAATAGAAAAATAATTGGGCCCTCTTAAAATTGGGGGTCCTGTGCAAGAGGTCACCTTGCCCTCTCACGTACGGTTCAAAGGCCGAGCCCCACCCCACCCTCTTCTACGGCTATGACTAGGTATAATGTGAGATAAGGAAATATTATAGAATGATGGTGGGGTCTAAAGAAAGATAGAGAAATAATACAAGCATAGGCCTTGTTTGGCAAATGGCTGTTGGTGGTTGGCTAATTCACTTGGTTTATTTGACCAGCTGCAATATTTGGTTGTTTATAATGGTTTTTGAAATTAGTTGTTTAAACTGACTATTTATAAAAGTGTGTGATAAATTTAGTTGATGACTGTTTATTAGATAATTTGTGGGCCAACAAGCCAAAAACCAACAAAAAAAAAAGCTACTCATAGCAACTTTTTTAATTTTTGTTTTGGCTTAAAAACCAGTTTTTTCGCTGAATGAAAAGCCAATTACCAAACACTTTTTTTGGCTGTTTGACCACATAAAAAAGCCAAAAGCCAAAAGCTAATAAAAAAGCCACCAAATAGCCATTTACCAAACATGGACATAATGTAAGTGGGTTTCTAAATTTGATATTGAGACAATTAAAAAAAACATTTGTTTGTTGAAAAGTGGAACACTTTATAAAAAATGGAGGGAGTATCTATGGATTTTTGGATTACATTTACTATTTTCCATAGGGACGAAAAGTCTAATACTCTCTCAGTTTCATTAAATCAGATTTATATTATCTAGGTCTAACAATAAACTTTCAACTGATTCAATTCCTTACAAAGTGAGTAAAAGGGCGGGAGACAGTATTAGTGCAATGGAAATTAACAATCCAGAGCTGATCACCTTTGACTTAAATTGGTTTCAGACCTGAATTTTCAGCAGTAATTTCAGGTTTTTTGGGGCGTTTAGGCCACAAAGCCCAAATTGAACCTTGTATGCTTGAAAAACCTTGTATTTTATCAAGCAATATCATATACGTATCAATTATTAAATACTTGTAGCTTTTGTTTCACCCTTTTCCTCTCAGTTTTACTCAGACCATACACACACTTGAACGTATGCAAGGTTAGTACTGTATTTTACATAAATTTGCTCACTTTCGAGTTGGTGATGGCTGAAGGACATAATGTTCAGTCAATCTGAGACTCAACGCATACATACACGTCTTATTCGTTATTGTTTATTCGGGCTTGTAAAGTGAGTCAGTGAAGCAGTAAACAATGAAACAAACAGCTGACAAACTTCAGCATTTACATGAACAAAGTCCATGGTTGCAGCTCCCAGCATTATCTATTTATCTGCCCCGATAATGGATCCTAGAGTCAGACCATTGAAGGTAGCCTCATCATGCGCTCTCCCGCCATCACACTGCAAAAACCATTACCTTATACGTCAGCTGACAAGTTACAAGAGTAACAACTACCACGGCAGCTAATAACTACTTTTGTCGAACAAGCCTATTAATTTGTATAGCTATATGGTCGTATGGTGTCTACATGGTCAGATGCTGTCTATCAGACATCAGTCTGTGTAAATGTAATTTTATATGTCAAATCAAATTGCAACATTCAAATCTTTATATCCTATGTCTCTTGGCCTAGCTAGGAATAAACCTTTGATCATAAACTACTACATCATCAAAGTCTTAATCCCAATGATGGGATCATTTACTGCACCATTGTCATATATTTTATACACACTGTCAATAATGTACAAAGCATACGCAAAGTTTAGAAGCTAATGTACCTCTTGACGTAGTAGTAACAAAAGTCGGCCAAAATGAATGTTTGAACCACCTCTGAGATAAGAGCCACCAGTATATAAAGTTGTGCTTGCCCTATTTTCGTCAGGAATACTCCCCCACTGTCAATAAGCTGTATGTAATATGCACAATATACGGCTATAAGTTTCGTTGAATAATCTAAATTTCAATCGGACATGAACCATACATTTCAAAGTTTCCACTCCTTAGAAATACATTTAAAGGGCTAAGGTACTAGAGCATGTGTAACAGTAAATGTATTATCCTATAAACTTATATCCTCACCATATTTATCCAATTTGCACATGAGAAGAACCTTGCAACACCCAACGCAAATACATAGTGAGCAGTAAATGGCTCAATCATCTGCGAAACAAAAGATAAAGAGTAAAAGAACGCGTTAGATCACGAAGGGCCACCAATAAACAAATAAGCGAAAGAGCTTGTAAAAACTAGTAAAGATGATTCTGTAAAACACAGAAGATTAAAATCTCGTACAATCAAAATACAAACCAAGAATAAGTACCATGGAATATTCATTAACTTGTGATTATTTGGTATAAACTATACTTCAGATAAAATGTATACGCACTCAACATGAACCTAAGGCCCGAATGTACCACCTAAGTCACGAACAATGGTATAATTATAAGGCAGTTTAAAATAGAAGAAAAACTTGTATTTTTCAGACCATTCTCTGCATTGAATATAGAGGTTCAACAATACCATTCATTACACATAACTACAAATTCAACATTTCTGCTCGCGCCTAAAAAACTTATCATACTTTCGAGTTCAATACCATCTCAATTAAATTCTGAACTAATTAACATCTTAACTGTCACTTCCACTGTCAAATTTTTTAACCTTCCCTACACTATCTGAATTCTGAAATGAGTTTGCTAATGACATAGAGAGATTACTAAAGTATTCGCAAAGTAAAACAGGAATTACAGTACCTTAGCCTTTTGTAGTAACTGAAATTGAGGGAGCACTGAAACAGCTTCAATAGTCATATAGTACACGAACAAAAACCCCAAGATAATGCCAGCTGGCAATCCAGGATGCCCGATTATTGCAATAATGGCACAAGGTACTAACTGTCAACAGAAAATATAGCATGTCAAATCACTATATAATCATCCTATGATTAAGATAAATAAATCTCCTTAGGTAAGTCCTGTAAATTCTAACTAGCTAGCTAACTATAAGTGGAATCTACTGGAAAAAGTGTGTTCATGTCAATAATTATGAAGTAAAGCAACAAATCAAACGAAAAAAGCGAAAAACAAAAGATTGAATACAGGACAAGAAAAAACTTGCTTACCACATAATACAAAGGCATGCTGTCAAGTTCTTGCATGTAGGTGTTCTTTAATTTATAACGCATCATATAGATCACCCATAGAGTACATACAAGGGTAAGGGAGTCAAGAACAACATGTATTTCACGTAAGAGTCCGAAAAAACATAGGATTCTCATGAGTAAGAACGTTGCTGTAAGCTCCTGAGTCTTCAATGATAGACCTGTGAAGATTAAGAAAGGATACATTAATCTAGTCTACTAGAAAATTAAGGATATATCTGTGTTACAGAGCTAGATCTTTGTAATGGAGCCATGTTTTGTTAGAGATCTTTAGAATGTTGGTCTGTTGGATGAACAAAATCATCTGATTGTTTATTTGTTTGTACTTCCTCTGTTACATATTAGTTGCAACTTTGAGGTATTATTTGTGAGACATAAAAAATTCCAAAGTTGCAACTAATATGTAACGGAGGAAGTACATTTTATGTCTTTGATTTGGAGATAGGAAAGGTGATTAATAGATGTTCATCTTCTCTAACCTCCACTTAGGATCACAAGCTCACAACAGGAGAGACTGTGGCTACTACTAAATCTCGTCTACATTGCTGCCACTATTGCTCTCATAAACAAATTCGATCACAAATTAACATATTATATATAGTTAAATACTCAAATATATACCACCTCTAAGACCATATCATTTACTCCTTCCGTGCCTAAAAATTTACACTTTTTTTCCTTTTTATAGTCATGCACGAATTAGACTCATTACTTAACCCTTTCATTAACATGTAGTGCGATAAGTTTACTTTTTATATTGTTTTTTTCATTAATTGAAGATTCAATTCTACCAAATATTGTGTAAATTATACTTGGTGTATAACTTTAAGGAACTATAACCTATTGTGGTATCAATGTTACCAAGACACAGTATAAAAATCATGTATGTGACCCACAATATTATCCTCCAAACATGTGTTTCACGAGTGTTTAGTTTGCTATTAATCGTGACAAATGAGATGGGACCAATCTTGATTATCATTACCAGTATTTTTTGATTAAATAAACGATAACAACTTCACTTGTCTTATCTGGATCCTTATCTTAGCTTCTTCAGAACCCCACCAATTAATTAAAAGCCAAAAAAAAAAAAAAAAAAAAAAAGGTACTCCATAATTTCATGGTCTCTACTATTCAGCTTAAATCATTAATAATTTCATATTCATAATTATATAATACGGAGTAATATTTAATGAATTTACCAACATACTAAATTGATGATATATTAGTAAAAAAAATAAGGTTAAAACTAGTATGGTCAGAAAAGTGAATAATCCAATTTATAAACATAGGGAGGAATTAGAAAAGAAATAAATTAATGTACTGTATTTTTCATTTTCTTCCTTGATTACTCTTTTCTCAAGAAGTGCATAATAAACATTGTGCACAAAAAGTATACAAGTGCATATGTTTACTCCTTCCTCCAACCCCACCCCACTTCTAAATTGTCTAGCCTGCTAACCCGACTATCATGTGGCACAGCCTATAACATTAGCTATGATGCCTAAAGGACACTTGCAAACTGTAACAAAGCACAGCCACCAAATGAGGCGTATCAACATAAAAAGAGGTAAATAAAAGAAAGAGTACGTACCAGAACAAGTTTTGGTGATAGTGAGCTTGTAAATTAAGAGCAAGATACCAGCAGAATGAGCAACTTGAGTTGCAACAAACAAATAAGTTTGGCTTTTAACAAAAACTTTGATCAAAACAAGCAACGCAAATGCAGCAACCACGCCCATGGTCACTTGCTCTCGCACCGATCGACTTCGAACCCATCTGCCTATTCTCTTCACAGCCACCGGTGTTGCATTTTTGTCACCCATTGTTGCTTCACTTGCTAAACTTTAAGAGTTAACAACTAGAATTTGTCAAAGTTGAAATGAAGAATTGTAGAAGAAAAAGTATAATAAAAAATCAGTAAGGGAGAGTTAAGGGTCACTACAATTATGTAGTGAATGTGAATTGTTGGTGTGGGTCTGCCTAGCTTCAAAGTTGAGAATGACAAATTTTTGTTTTCCATTGTTATTTATTAATGAATGATAGTGATTTTTTTAGATGTGACTTTCATTTATCATTGAGGATTTATATATTCATCGAAAATAGTTGTTACATTTATTAGCTTAGACATTCACTGTGTTCAAAAATAGTTGTTACTTTTGTACAAACTCGGGTTTACTTACTTCAAGTACATAAGGTACACTCAAGTATATAACAGAGGCGTTGGTCGTATAAAACAATTTACACAAATAAGGTGCCTATTCTTCTATACTGGCAGATTTGAGGCCAAAAACATTTACATGTCTTGCTGCCAAATACACAGAATGTATGGAACAAAGATAAGAGCTTAGAAAACTCGATCCACATTACATTAGCAGTTTCGAATATATCCCAGAATCAGACCATTGAGGGTAGCCTCATCGTTCGCTGTCCTTCCATCACACTGTAAAACCAAATTTCGTCTTAGTTTATGTATTTGACCGAAGAATTGAATAAAACAAATGCACCATTCTAGAGTATCTATGGAAGAATATGTCTGACTATGCCTGGACAAATCAAAAACTAGTATGGTTTATAGCTAGATCAGATTTGAACCAGTAATGCGACAAATTAATGCAGTTGGAGATATTTAGTACGGAGTATTACTTAGTGTGAACTGATGCATATAAGAGTGTTTAGGAGTTCAGTTGGATACCTTTTGACATAGTAGTAACAAAAATCCGCCAAGATAAAAGTTTGAACCACTTCTGAGAGAAGAATTACTAATAAATAAAGATGTCCCTGCCCTATTTGCGTTAATAATCCTCCTTTGGTATTAATGAGCTGTTTACAATTACAAAATATTATACATGGTTATCAATCAAAGAGAGGTTAAGAGAAAACATTTGAGACAGTATAAAGTGTAGGTACGTATCCTAACCAAAAAGATCCAATTCGCGCATGAGAAGAATCTGGCAACACCCAAGGCAAAGACATAGTGAGCAGTAAATGGTTCAACCAGCTGCATTACAAAGAAAATTACAAAAACGAAATCAGGATTCACCATCATGTACAATTCTTTACTGGATGCATGTTAAATTTTAGAATCACTCAGCTAGGAAGAACTAACTGAAAGTCTGAAAGTGATACAAAAAATTGAAATACAAGAAAGTAAGAAACAGCAACTACTACTGATAGTCTGATACGCATTTGTGCCTGCATCAGCATGCCTGTAATGTGTAAGAAGTTTATAGTACTTCAATTATTCAGGCTGAACTGTTTAATTACCTACTTAAATTCAAGCTTAAATGGGTTTCATCAAGTAGTTGTCTATATTTAGGTGAAGACTTAATTCTGAACAGCTAACATTTGAGTAAACTCAACTCATGACTGATGTAACTCTTACTACAACAATGCAACATATAGGAATTTCCAAATTTTCATGTCATTACTGAAATGAGCTTGTGATGAGAGCAACTTTCAGGGCTGATCAAGAGTATACAAACTTGTTGCAAGGTAATAAAGCTGTAATTATCAATATATGATACCTTGGCATTTTGTATTAAGAGAAGCTGAGGGAGCACTGAAACAGCTTCAATTGTTGTAAAATACATGTACAAGAATCTGGTGACAATGTCGGATTGCCATCCAGGATGGCCTATTAATGCAACAACGGCACAAGGCACCAACTGTAAACACCAAATATACATGTCATTATTGTTTATGCTATGGTCTACAATTGCGAGATGCATGAAACAAAATTTCATACCACATAGTACAAAGGCATGGTGTCAAGCTCTTGCATGTAGGTGTTCTGTAACTTGTATCGCATCATATAGATCACCCACAAAGTAGATGCAAGACTTATAGAATCAAGTAAAACGTGAATTTTGGGCAAGAGTGTAAAGTAGCACATAATTTTTATAATCAAGAATATCACTGTAAGCTCTTGAGTCTTCATTGATAGACCTGTGAAAATCATCATCATCAACGATTAATGCACACATACTTGTTATTAAGATGGCTCATATACCTCGGTCTATGATCAATTTGTTAGAAAAAAACACAGAACATAGGGAGTGATGGCGAAAGACAAGGGAAAGATCAAAGGATCAACAAGAATCATCAGTGTTATATCCTTAAACAATCAACATCATTTTTTAGTTCATTAAAATTGGTTCATTAATAAAATGATCATGAAAGCAACTCTTTATCTTGATTTAGGAAATGATTACATTCGAGATTACAATCAATTCTTGCAACATGTACATTCAAACAAGAAACTAACATAACAATTAATAAATAACACAACTTATCAACAAATTAAAAGAGGAAGTCATAATATAAACTATTCTAGCAGAGGAAAAAGAAAATTAAAAATTAAGGAAGGATATATTACCTGAACAAGTTTTGGTGATAGTGAGCTTGTAAAGTAAGAGTAAAATGCCAACAGCCTGAGATGTTTGAGAAGCAACAAACAAATGTGTTTCTCCTTTCATGAACGTTTTCAACAACACCAGCAACGCCAATGCTGCAATTGTGCCCATGCTTACTTGCTGTCTCATCGTTCGACCACGAACCCATCCAGCCACCTGCCTCCCCACCATCGGCGTTGACCCCCTCTTGTGACTCATTTAATCTCACTTCAATTTTACTTTTGGTAGTAATATAATTTGAACAGAATGAGAGAAAAATAGAGGGACAGATAAATGAGATTTATTAGTTGACTTAATAATAGAGAGCAACCATAAGCCATGTTAACCACTACATACATATAGATTATGAGGTGAGGTTGAGTAGTAGTGTTCTGACCAAATAATTAAACTTTAAAATTCTTCCAAAAGTATTTTAAATGAGGTTCATTTGAATAGATAATAAAATCAAAATATTTGATATGATTTCATGATAAGAGTTGGGAGTTACTGCTGTACAAGATCACCATAAACTAAAAAAAGTCAGCCATTTTATTGAAGTCAAATTGATAGCTGGAGCTGGTATTGGGTCATGTTGGTGGGCATGGTTCTCTGGCCTGGGCAGCTAGGGCAATGGGGTCATTACTCGTGCCGGGCTGACCATTTTTAAGCCCATGTGTGACAGTTAGGGGGTGTGTGTGAGCCCAATTTGGAAAACGCGGCGCAGGCCTACGTGACATTTAGAGTTGAACAACTTTTTCTTTTTGTGAGGGACGACTCATAGGAGGGTAGTTTTGGAAGAAAAATCTTGTTATATACGATTCAATCACCGAGCTTGGTGAAGAATCTCTCTCAAAAAAAAGGGAGTAATATGAATATCATGTAAAGTGTAATCCTTGGATAAAAGTGAGTAAAAGTATAAAACAGTAGTTGCATTTTTTCATTTCTAACACGAAGTATACAACAATACAAGAGGTTGAACCTTCCCAAGTTTTTATGACTAACCCAACTTCACTAACTACCCTACTTCACAGTTCACAGAAGCTAATGTGGTTCGGATTACACAATTGGATGCTCACTTATTTCTGATAGCTGACAGAGCAAATCCTTATTTTTAACAGGGAAAAAAAAACTGAGACTGAGAGCATACAAGTCTTCATTTTTCTATTGAAAGGCGAACATGGGAGTAAAGTCTTACTCTACCCTTTGGGCAGAAACTCGATCATATTCATGAAGAGAGTTAATCGTTGCAGCCTTCTGATAACACAAGTTGTTGCAGTTCAAACCATTGAGGGTAGTCTCATAATGCTCTGTCCCTCCATTACACTGTGAAAGCCATTTTCTTGTTACCAAAGTATGGGGAAAAAAAAAAGAGGGGGGGGGGGGGTGATATTTGCAAACCACATGCTACAGTAGCTAGGAAAGTATATGCCTCAAGTAGTTTACATAGTTAAAAGATGATTTTTATAGATTTAGAACAGTATGTAGAAAGATCAGTGTCGCTATAATTAGTATGATCAAACTACTAACTATACAAAATGTGTATACAGTTGGATTAATGTTACTTTGTAAAAAAAGAAGGGACAAATATGAACTTTCAATAATTGATGTACCTCTTGACGTAGTAATAACAGAAATCTGCCAAGATGAAAGTTTGAACTATTTCAGCAAGAAGAGCTACTAGTAAATACAAATGTCCTCGCCCGATTTGCATCAGTATTGCTCCTCTGCTGTCAACAAGCTGTATGTAGTAGAAAAGGTGGGTGGTTAGTCGAGAGTTCTTTTAAAAAAAAAATTAACATGTGATAGCAAATAAATTTTTAATGTAAGAACAACTTGATTAAGAGTTTAAGACAGTATAATGTATGTGATATCCTCACCATGATCAACCAATTTGCACATGCGAAGAATCTAGCAACACCTAGGGCAAAGACGTAGTGGGCAGTAAATGGTTCAACCATCTGCAACACAAAGGAAAATCGAGGAAAAGTTAAAGCATCAGTGGACCAATCAACAAAGAAATTAGCTAGTGCGGCAAGTAGATAATTATATTGCAAAGACAACATTAGACAGAGTATGAATAGGTTCTATCTTTTGATAGAATTTGAATAAGGATATATGAAGATCGAAAGGGTATCACTGATTTACTGAAACTGAGCTCTGAAGGTTATGCGACGTACTAGGTATGTGTGGGGCAGTGGGAGAATGTGCTCTGTGGTGAGGTGGAGATTATGTGAAGATAGAAATAAAGAGGTAGACCCCTTTCTTCTAGCTAGAAATGTTACCACATCGGATCATGTGCACCTAGGGGTAATGTATAGTATCTTTAATGTAGCTTGGATATTGGCTAGCCTTAGAATAGGCTGCTTATACAAGTGATTCTTAGTTGCCATATATCGGTAATTTTCTAGCCGAAGCAGGTATTCATTAGTTCTTTCAGTGTTCCAACTACAAGTTCTTAAGGTTATTTGCAGGGGTGAGAGAAACCAAAAGCTTTTTCAGAAATAGCGCAGAAAATTAATGAATGACAGAGCTGCAGGCTAACTAAAAACATCAAATAGGAAACTAATATGGGTTTTTTTTTTTTTTTTGTAATGTAAATCTGGAAGTGTTTTGTTATTCTTATGTCAGAGACTAACACCTAGCTATCCCACAGAAAATGAGATAGAAATAGACCAATGTCCAGGGATAATGAAGCTAGAAGTATTATGTTCACATCTTTACAGTAGCGCAACTATTGCCAATTTTATTTTATTTTATTTTTATTTTATTTTTTTTATTTTTTATAATAATGAATCTCTCTGTTGTTAGCATAAAACGGAGTATACAACTTTGGCATTGCCACCTCAACTCAGTGAAGAATGCTCACGTTCAAACTCAAATAAACCTTGAGCTTGATGAATTTGGTTTGACTTATACTCAAAGCTCAATCGTTAAACAAATGTGATCGACAAATGCCACACCACTTCAATTATAAGCATGTGTGTGTGTGTGTGAGCGAGTGTATGTGTGTGTCAGTCTGCAAGCAGCTTTTTATACTTCCGAGTCATGAGCGCAATCGGTTTACCTACTCAAACTTGAGTAAAACCAGAAACTGACTTAACTAGCTGACCTAAAGCCTATATGAGGCATGAGAAGACTCAACTAAATAACCTAGCACACTTAGGAAAATATCAAGGAAGTTCCAAATTTTCATGAAATAGCGATATTATAGACATTTTTGCAAAGTATTGAAGTTAATCTTACAATACCTTAGCATTTTGTATTAGGCGCAGCTGAGGGAGCACTGAAACGGCTTCAATTGTCTTAGAATACATATAGAAGAATCTGAAGCCAAAGTTCATTCCAAATCCAGGATGGCCTATCAATGCAACGACAGCAGAAGGCACCAGCTGTATATAAAAACAGTAACATGTCAATATTAAACATGCTAAGTAGTTTCGGATCAAAGAAAATATTGTAAAAAGTTGCCTACTGATACAATTCATAAGATACTATCATTCTCTTTTTTTTTTTTTTTTTTTTTATAAGCTAGATGTTGTTCTAAATAATTTTTGTAGATTAAAGTATTGAAAAGTTGCCTTTAAATGATCCTCACATATAAGCACAATATACTAGATTATGTAATCTACATCATCTTTCATCATTTCCAAAATCACCACCATTCGAAGTACTTAATAGTAAAGTGGTTTGTATAGTGCATGTTGATGATGATCACATATAGAAAGAAATGAGAAAAATAAAACAAAAAACAGAATTGCTTACCACGTAATACAAAGGCATATTGTCAAGCTCTTCCATGTAGGTTTGCTTCAACTTATATCGTATCATATAGATCACCCAGAGAGTAGATACAAGGGTTAGACAATCAAGTACAACATAAAGATCACGTATGAGCATAAAATGGCACGCGATTCTCATGATTAAGAATACTGCTGTTAGCTCCTGAGTCTTCAATGACAAACCTAAGATCATCAAGAATACACACACACAAATTACTAGAAGAAAGCATATACAAATAATTTTATGATTAATAGACTACATTTAAACCAAAGGACCACTTTTTGTCACAAACCAAAAGTTAAGATGAATATAGAACGCCTTATGTCAATGCTTCCTGAATACGAAGTAGAAATAGGAATAACCACTAAACCTTTATAAATAGTGTAGGTATTTACTCCACACAGTTCATGTCAATTTTCATGATTGAAGAAAATAGGTTTCAAAATTATATTCTCTATGTTTAAACACCAACCCTCCTAGGCTATTCCTCTTAATCTTTCCACGTTCGTACATAACCATGGTTAGACTAAGGTGCATTCTATCCAACTAATTATAAGATCAAATAAGTTCTAGTAAGTTCAATTCATCCTAATCAATAAAACTGCCTCAAAAAAAAAAAAAAAAAAAAAAATCAATAAAACAAAATTTTGAATAAAATTAGATACTTTTAGAATTGTTGCCTATAGTACACCTTACAGGTGTAAAATAATTTGTATAACAATGAAATTCATACTCACATCATATCACTAATAAATAAAGCCGGTCTCCAAGCCAGGCCACGAGATAGTGATACTTGACATTCTAGTTTTTCGCCACGTAGACAATAAATAGGTATTATTGTGACACATATGATGCTAAGTAAGCGATTTTTGGATAGATTTTTTAAGATAAAATTGTTGTATAAAGTTTTATTATCAATAAAAATCTAATATTTCACATATATATAATTAATCATAACTTTTTATAAATATCCTATAACTCAATTCTATTTCCATTGTTAAATTTGTTTTAAAAAGTTCTTTAAAACAAGATCCATTTATAACATATTTAATCACAAACTTTTATATGTAACTAGTCAAACCACGTCACCAACTATTATAAGAGTTACTTTGTGAGTGCTATAGGGATTACTTGATCAGTGTTATAGTGGTACTCAATTAGTGTTATAGATAGAGGCTGCTTAGTTAGTGTTAGAGGTTACTTAGTTAGTATTACAAGGGTTACTCAGTCAGTTTTATAAGGGTTACTTTGTCTGGCCAGATAATTTGGCTAACCACATACGAAATGCATTGTTATTTAATATATTTAAAAAAAATATAAGAGAATCAGTAAAAATAAGTTTTAATTAGTAAAATTAATTTTAGTTTGGTAAAAACACTTACAGTTGAGTAAAAATAATTTAAGCTCAATAAAAATAATTTAAAGTCAATAATAACATAGATATCTATTTACAAACAAAAATACATAAAGTATTATCATATAAATATAAGCCATATGATATCGTATGTCTAAATATAGACCATTATATTATAAGAACGAATTATTTGTTCGTATTTAACATTCAAATATAAATGTTATCTTAAAATTTTATCAACCATCTTATTAATATAACAAGGTGTTTTACGAGGTACTCGTGAGACACTAAGGCAGTGATCTTGGGCACCAATTGTTGTTTTTTTTATGTTACAAGTTACAAGTGTTACAACATATAGTATGATATTGACATGTGAACAATAACTTCACTCTGTGGACATTGTCGCATTATGACATATATTATCTTATCCCAATTAAGACGCAATTATAATTTATACAAATACTCTTACAGTCTTACTAAAATTTAATCACCGTCTAAACAGGAAGAGTATTAAAAAAAAAAATAAATGAGATTAAGCAACATTTTTAATCCGGCCTCGAGGAAAATCCAGAAATTCCAAGTTCATCTCTTGGTTTATCAAGTGGTAATTAAAATTGTAAGTTAAATATATATAATCATCAATTAGCAATTTCACGTAAATAGTAAATAAGATGGAGAAATATACAATCGAATAATTGAATGAATGTATAACCGGAGAATATTTCGAAGATATAGAATCACAAATTCTCGATTAGTTTCAAAATCAAAGAGATGAACGGGAGACCCTCAAATAATGAAGGCTACAAAATCAGCTAGATAAAAATTAATGATAGAAATGATCAAGGAAAAGGAAAATTACCAGAACAAGTTTTGGTGATGGTGAGTTTGTAAATTAAGACCAAAATACCAATAGAGTGAGCAAGTTGAGCAGCAACATAGAAATAAGTATGATTTTTGACGAAAACTTTGAGTAAAACCAGGAATATGAACGCTGCAATCGACGCCATGGTAACTAGTTGTCTCACAGATCGGCTTCGAATCCATCGCGATAGCTGCTTCACTGCCGTCGGAGTCGCTCTTTTGTCCCCCATTTTTAAAGGTTGGTTGAGTAATGAGTATCGGAATGGTCTAATGGAACTTGAAACGACTTTTAACTACAAAATTTTATCACTAATTACTAAGGACGCTGAGTTGGCGAACCTTTCCATTCAATATTGTCTGTTTGCTTTATCTGATTTTGTACGAAATTATTTTATCTAAATTTTAATTATTTGCATTTCGTTAAAATATACTCCGTATTTTATTTTTGTCTAAACTTATTTTCTTAGCAAATTTTAAAATTATTTTGTATATACTTTTTTACCCTAATTCATCTTGTACGACTTATTTTATTCACCTTATATTTGCTTAAATAAAATTATTTTTGTTCAAGTGAAATAAAGTTATTTTTGTTGATGTGAAATAATCCGCAAAAGTTTTTATTTTAATGTCGGAGTATTATTTAGTACAGTTGACAAGGGGGATAGTTTAATACTCATAGGTGAGGCAATTATGGTTAGGTTGATTGACTAATGGCCCTTGAACCACTTCTACCTGCAAATAATGCTATGAAGCTGCTACACCGCCAACTTATCCATTTCAATAGTGTGGAAATTCAAAGTTTATGAATGCTAGGTACATTTTGTTAATCAACTATTTATGAATTTTAGGTACCAGCTTTTCTGGGAACAATAGCTCGGATTTTACTAATAAGTCATGCTAAAAAGAACTTACATAGCAAACATGTATTACGTGTGTTCAGCACAACGTCAAATATGGGTATAACAAACACAAGTAGGGCTGTCAAAAACTGATCCGATCTGACAATATTCTGACAAAAATCAAAGTAACCCAAGATAATGTTATGAGTTATGAGCTTGGAGGATCAAGGTCTAAGCAATATGGGTTCTCTGAGGTAGTAATCAAACTACATCAGTGTATCAGCCCATACACAGAAGAACCAGAAATAAGGGGCTGCACACTGCAGACTCGTTACTCGTTAGTTTAGTAACACACAATCATACATTCACACTCCTGTTTAGATCAAGATTAATGTAAGGATAAATGCATCTGATAGACTTTATTCTTATAGAGAGCAAGGGGGAGTAATAAGACTAGACTATATACCAACCGATAATTCAGAAGTGCACTTTTTTATTTCTAATATGCAGGGCTGCTTCCAGCCGAGATGGAACCTCAATTACCCTAATTCTTGACATGTACTACTCATGTAGAGTACTTTACACAAATTGGATGCTCAATCTTCCTAAAATACAAGGGTCCGTTTGTCGATATGTAAAGATGGGCAGTAGGCAAGCATTTCACTAACTTAAGCATCTTCATGAAGAGAATTATGGCTGCAGCTCCCAAAAACTTATCCCGGGCTCAGACCATTGAAGGTAGACGCATCATGCTTTGTCCCTCCACTACACTGTAATATATTTTCCATATTAGAATCAGTATTTTGTAGCTAATGCAAAGTAAGGATAACCAAAATAGCTAGAATTTTTATAAATTAAACTTCATCTTGTAGTAGCTAGGAAAGTATCTCTAAATGTGTAAAAAGACTGTGGTTTAAATGTAGTGTTTTCATAATTTTTGTGCAATTGATTTAGATTAATTAAAAAAAAAAAAAAAAAAGCACTATGTCGGAGTTTAGTGCAATTTGAACTACTAATGTCACAGATATATGCGGTTGGATGTAACATTACATTAGAGCAGCTAAGCGACATAAGTGTATTCAGAAATAGATGTACCTCTTAATGTAGTAATAGCAGAAATCTGTCAAGATGAAGGTTTGAACCACCTCAGCAAGAAGAATTACGATCAGATAAAGTTGTCCTCTCCCTATTCCAGTCAATATTGCTCCTTTGGTGTCAATAATCTGTATGTAGTTGCAAATTTATTAATAAGCCGAGATATCTAGGCAAATCAGGAACATGACTTACAATACAAAAATACACAAATACACAACTATCTTTTTCATTCATTCTAAAACACTACATTTATCTTGATGATAGAACGTCATAGGTGGGAGGAAGAACAGTGGCTGTCCTCAATCTAGATGTGCGTTTGTAACGCACACTAGTTTGCAACCTAACTCTTAAGTTTTAGAAATTTGAATTCATGTTCCTCTCAAAAACCAGATGTGAGGATTCATCCTGATTAGATCAAAGCTAATAGAAAGTGAGAATAGGAAGAATTATCATACTAGCATACATGCCAACTGCCAAGGGAGCATCATGATAAAATTGGCGCTATCACAAGATTCAAGTCATTTGTGTATTCAATCAATCCTACATCTATGCTTCCACTCTTTGTTAAGAAACTCCGACTCAGCTAATTAAACTTTCATACAAATTTGAATTCTTGATGTAGATGCACATAAACAATCTTGTGAAAACAAATGAAAGATTACGAGAACACTAGAGAGTTGAGACAGTACGTATGTTGTATACTAACCATGTATATCCAGTTTGCACATGAGAAGAATCTTGCAACACCTAGGGCAAAGACGTAATGCGCAGTAAAGGGTTCAACCACCTGCATCACAAAGGGAAAAGACCTTAGAAATCCAGCTCGACCAAGATTAGTTATTACATAATTCTTCCCATGAAGATAAGAAAAAAAATCATCTGGGAAGAATCAAATGGAAGTTATCAACAAGTATGAACTATGAAGTAGCTCCTGGTATAAGTTTAAGCATGTGTATGTGTCGTTGTGAAAGTAAGTTATTACACTTTGTTTAATATGGAATATCGTTTTACTTGAATCCAACCAGTTCACCAGCTCTCAAGCCAAACATCAGCTTTACCGGAAACTGACTTCAATAGGTCCCTAAATTGAGCTAAGACTCTAATCTGAATGAAGCATGAGATGACTTAACTAAACAACTAAACTACCCAAGAATGAAATGAGCTTCTTTATGAAAAAGAGATATTAACACTTTTGCTAAGTATCACATTAAAGCTAGTGTTACAGCACCTTAGCATTTTGTATTAAGCGCAGCTGAGGAAGCACTGAAATGGCTTCAATCGTCTTACTAAACATATATAGCAGCCCGATGATTCCAGATCCAGGATTGCCTATAACAGCAATAATTAAACAAGGCACCAGCTGCAAACAGCAAAAGTAACGTGTCACTATTCTTTGCATACTCTGTAAAAGATAACAATCCAAATAGATGCCTCAATCTACACCAATCTTCATAGACTTAAATATATCGTGGACATGTGTTACTTATGATCTAAATTTGAATAGGAAATAAAATTGGGTGCTTACCACATAATATAAAGGCATGTTGTCAAGCTCTTTCAAGTAGGTGTTCTTCAACTTGAATCGTATCATATATATAACCCAGAGAGTAGAAACCAGGGTTATAGAATCAAGTACAATGTAAATATCGCGTGTGAACGTAAAATGACTCACGAGCCTTATGATTAGGTATATCGCAGTAAGCTCCTGAGTCTTTAATGATAAGCCTGTGAAGATCAACAAGGATATACTAATAATTACTAAAATTCATAATTACTAGCATATCTTATCATATGAATTGTATGATAAATAGACTAAAAATGAACCAAGAATCGACTTTCCGTTAGAAAAAATTTACAGTATCACAATAGATGAACAAAAATCATCATGTAATCTGCTGGTTGATTGTTAAGTAGATAGGATATTATGAGCATCATATTAGCATCAATTCTGCTATTCTCTATTTCTCCACCCAATTCATTTTATTTTATGATTTATGTAGACAGTTTTCTTAATCAAATCTTTTGCATTGTTAATGGATATAGTCACAATATGAGTACTCCAAATGTATTTTTTCTCTAATCTCTTAATCCTGTTTTACTTTTTGCACAATTTTCAATGTACACATAAGCATAAATATTGTGAATTTACACGAATCAAACTAGATCCCACACGAGACCACGGCTATAATTTCTTGCAGATATTGATTGTGTATTTGAATCTATTGCATTGGAATTATCCAAACAAGATTAACAAAAAGCTAAGGAACATAAAGAGCATTAAGAACACCCTATTTTCTTCCATTTTCAACAAAGTTTAACCCAAAAATAATAATTCAGCAAATACAAGTATAAGTTCTATTTTGTCAGACATGTACTTGTAGAAATAGAAATTTTAGATAAAAGTTAGTGTTAATATTCAATTTAATATACTCCTAAAGAATATTCAATATTTCCATCAATTAAAAAAGTAGACTTTATTTATTTATTTTTCTCATTTAAAAATTCTCTTATGAACACGCTGACACACACGTGAGGAGGGTTCTGTTCCAGACAATTATGAAGACGAAATGAACATGAAGATGAAACTCAATAATCTATCTTTATGAATTCTTTTAATAAGATTGAAAACTATTAATTCAAACGCGTGTACATTGACAAGCGTGAAAATCAAAACGAATAAAAGGGAAAAAAATTAAATAATAAAAGAACCATCATTATTCAAATAACAAAATTACAATCGAATAGGGGAAAATAAATTAAATTAAATAAAAGGGGTATGCAAATTACGGGAAAACATTAATAAAACAGGCAAAATTCATAAATAATCAAATCAAATTAAATTATAAGAATATGCAATTATATAACAAAAATTGAATAAATTGGGATTAATTGAAAAAAGGGGAAATTACCAGAACAAGTTTTGGTGATGGTGAGTTTGTAAATCAAGACTAAAATCCCAATAGAATGAGCAAGTTGAGCAGCAATATAAAAATAAGTATAATTTTTGACGAAAAGTTTGAGTAAAATCAAGAATATGAATGCTGCAATCGACGCCATAGTAACTAGTTGTCTCACAGATCGGCTTCGAATCCATCGCGACAGTTGTTTGACTGCCGTCGGAGTTGCTCTTTTGTCACCCATCACTCCGACTTCTTTACTTGGTACTCCGTAATAGAAAGAGAGATTGAGAGAAATTGGTTTAGTTTGTTTGACTCTTATGAAAAGGAGACAAGAGAGTGATGATTTATTTAAGTATATTTATGTTGTGAGGTTTATTGGGACTAGGACTAGGGGTTATAAACTTATGGTGAGATTAAATCAATCTACGAGTTGACTCGATGGTTAAGAGATGGAGTAGTGGTGTCCACCTAAAATATAGATTTTATGGAATTAATGAAGTATTTCCCTGTTATTGTAATGATTGTAAATTCGCAATATTAGCATATGCATAAAGTTTTAGGAAAATTATATGTCGGGATCAAAAGAATTTTTATTTTTTTTTATAAATATAAAATATAGTTAATAAGATAGAGAAATAATAAATTAATAAAAATTGGGGTTGGTAGGAGAGAGAAATAAAATAATAGTGGATCCTTTTTAGACGTGGCAATTATTATAAAACCTACCTAAAATAAAAGTGTTGCAATTATTAAGAAACGGATATAGTAATCTGTATAAGGTTAGGTTTTTTTTTTCCTTTTGTTTGGTAAGTTTGTGTGTAGGATAGACTATATTATCCGGATTAGGTTTTAATTAGTTCAAATAACATAAGATGAGGTTTTTTTTTTAATATTATTATTTTTTTATTAAGATAAGTTTAAATAAGTGAAAATATATTAAATAGATAATACTCCTTTATTATAAATTTTTTTTATTGTCTAGATGTAATATTAGAAGGATACTTCCCTAATAGTTCAAGAATATGACTTCATAATTGTTTTGTTGATGTTAAACCTCTAAATATAAACAAAATCGAATTTATATAGAAGTGATAATTTTATGGTTAAGGGCACGCTATAAAGCTTGTTTAAAATTGAATAAAACATCAAGTATTTATATACTACAAAGTAAAGAATAAAGATATCTTAGTCGATCTCAATATTTATTCATTAAATCATACCATGAAACATATATGTAAAATATAACACGATAGTTAATTTTTCTTAAATTTTTAATATCTCAAATCTCTTACAATTTCTTATACGTAAATTCTTACTAGCCTCGTCTCGTCACAGTATGAAATATGCATGACGAATAATTAGTACTCCGTAATACTGATGAAGCACTAAATTTTGCAACATAATTAATTTAGGAAACATAGAGATTAGATATTTAGAGGCTATAGTAGTAGTACTGGAAAAAAAAAATTAAAAATGACAAGTATAGCATGACACCATCTTATTGGCTGGAACATGTAATATGTCCTACGTGGTAGGTTTTAATTGGTTGTGACCTTGTTAGACGATGTGTCACGTGTTGCATTAATATTGCCATGTTTACCCCAAAACTAAAAATAATAAATGACAGTAAGAAAATAATAGTTCCTGTTAAAATAATTAGCGTATTTTTTGTGTGACTGGTCACATCTTGTGGCCGGCTGACATACGAATAATCTCTGATTGGGTAATCCCTGAATGACCGAGTTTCCCATAATTGAGTAACTCATGATCGATCGAGTAACCTTTGATCAAGTAACCCCTGACCAAATAACTCCTGACTAATCGAGTAACTCTTGACCAAGTAACCCCGACCACCGTTTGTGGTTAGCCTCATATATAACTCTGTGCAAAACAAAAATATAATAATTAATTAAATAAAAATAAAAACCATTATTGTTGTCCAATTTGGATTTTGGATAGCATTTTTATTTATTTTAATTAATTTTATTTTAATTAATTTTATTTTATGGGTGACAGTTGAGGCAATTTTATAACGGAGTAGTAGAGATGTCCCCTCATCAAGCTCGGCCCTACAACGGAAATATATCGCCTAATATGTTGGATGAAGACAAATTATTGGTGTATAAACAATATTAAAGATGGCTAAGACGTGAATCACGTGACAATGGGTCATTGTCCTTATTGATTTTGGATTCATTGGGTGTTTTTGAAATGATCCACTCCCTTGAAAATCAAGATGTTCTTGATGGATGGTCTCATAAGGAAAGACAAAGAGATTAATTACATACAATTGTTTAATAAGTACAAAGTTTGACTTCAATTAGGTATTTATTGAGTAAGTATTTTTTTATTTTCTAATTATGTTTTTTAATAAGGAAAGACATTTGACATTTTATTATGAGCCATATAATGTAAATTATTTTCCTTTACTACAAACATACTCGGATCTTTTATTGTAGCATACATTGCCACCAACTAAGCAAACTCTATCATAGTTGCTCGGGAGGCTTAGTGTTCAACAACTAAAGAGTAGCGGGAATTATCATTAGAGATAATAGTTGACAAATTTTGAAGCTCGCATTTTCAATTATGGCGCACTAAAGATCTACATAACAAAAGTTACAACTCTTTACAAAAACAAATTTTGAGCTTTCAAAGAAGAAATTATTAGCATACATATTAAAGGTGATAATCTATTAGTTATCAACTCAATTAGAGGAATTTGGTGAATTCTATGTCAAATCAAGAATATCATAGCAAACATCTACTTCTTACAATTAAGTTCGACAATTGGGATATCCAACATATTTATTGGGAAGCATATCGAGCTACAAGTAGGATTTCTAATGTTGGTCATCTACTAAGTGAAAATGATCATTTCTCCTTGTATTAACGATTACAATTATATGTGAGTCGAGTCACTAGCATCAAGTTGGTTTTATCAAGTCTACTCATTGTAAGTCTTGTAACACTAAAACCCACGGGTACATTTGGGCGCATGGGCCATATGTGTTGTAGAAACATATAGGAGGGCACAATAGTAATTTGATGTCTGTATATACATATTTTAGGATTGCATTTGTATTTTTTTCGTGTAATATTATGCATGTATATAATATTATTGGAGTATATAGATTGTCTTATGAGTATTATTATATCTCAGAATGGTATAATATTTGATATATTATTTATATATTTAATAATATTATTAAAAAAAATATTTATACCATTACAATTAATGATTTTTTTTAATAGACAATTAATGATATTATTAACCTATTTAATGGTACTTTGTACATACTGTATGTAAAAATTTTCAACATATTAACAAATATTAAATATGTCATCCTATGCATTACAAAAGAAATAGGTCGTAATTCAAAACCCGCCCAACCATTCTATTGAACCCAAAAAATTCCTCGGCCCTCTCCTTACCGGGTTTTTCTCTTTGTTTTCTCAGACTCGTACAAAATGATTAAATAACCACCTTCAATTCTTTAACGACTTTCTAAAAATGGAAATTCCAATTGTTTGTGTTTCACTTTCTCCCTCATACAAACAGTGCTGCACATTATGTCCAGAAAATCAGGCAAGTAATAGAAATTTGAGATGGGTAAATTCAAATATGAAACACCAGCATTGGTGCAGCGAATTGGTACATGGGTTCGAAACCGTACTATGAAAGAGAAGCTGTGTATGGGTGCCATTGCTGCGGTTGTAATGCTTGTTTTGTTAAAAGTATTGGTCAAAGATCATGCACATTTTTTTGTTGCTGCTCAAACTTCTCATGCTGTTGGTATCTTACTCTTGATTTACAAGCTCACCATCTCCAAGACTTGTTCTGGTACGTACTCTTGCACCCCATTTATTTCTGTAATTGTAACATTTCTCGTTCTTTTTTGATTGCAATGTTTTGATTTTTTTGTACTTTTATGTAGATTACTCCAATGTATATATTCAAGTTTTATTTATGTATGTTGATATATCATTAAAGTAGTGCAATGACTCATTGAGAATTGTTAAAAAATGTTGCAATTAATAGAGAAGAGAGCAAGTATATTGACAATGTGATGTTGCACATTGCAATAGTGTAAATACCCTTAAGTATCCTCTATTAGCTTATTATTTGATCTTATATTGATTTGCGGTATGTTTTCACTTTCAATTTCCAATCAATTTGGGTTAAAGGAAAAAAAAAATTCTATTAACATATCTATATTAATTTGATCAACAACGACAACAATTTAACAAGGACGATTGATGTTGTTGATTGATAAAGTTATGAGAAAGAGAATGTTGGAAAGCTTGATTATATAGATGAGTATACATGAGTATATATATATAGTACAATATTTAAGTATTGAACATCACCAAACTATAACTAGGTACAATATATGATTAGGTACATTAGCTAATAATAAGACATATACTTTGACTATCAAAGTTAAGGAATAAATCGAGGGATTATAAACTATGAACAATAACTTATATTGACAGCAATGATTTGATCATTATTATCCTTTACACTGATAAGCAATAGTTTTGAAGATCATATTCCTTGTTTTTATTGATTGATATTTAGTAGTATGTGTTTGGTATAAATATAAACAAATAAAAGGGGACAGAATAATGTTTGCAATAACTAAGGAACGGAATCTCTTGTATCAAATTGAGGATTAAGGAGAGTAACGATTTTGTTATCAGAGAGTTGGAAAGTTTAACAAATGGATAGTCATGGTTACCCTCGAGAAATTGAGTATGTTACTCACCTCTCCTACCAAACAATAGGTAATGAAAATGATCAATTGCGTTTTCATCCCTTAAACACACCGTGCCAAACAAGTAAATATGTTTACATTGAGGGTTTAGGTGGGAAAACATAACTGAATTATAATTGGGTTAGAACAATGGATCATTAGTTTTCAAAACAAAATATAACCCTGGAGGCCTGGACATATTATAACTTGGAACACATGTTCTGAATTGTACCTTCGTATTAATTAAGCATTTCTAATTGATCTTCGGTTTGCTTTTACCCTGGTCCCTGGACTTACGCTTTCTAGATCAATGGATTATGTGAAATTGCTCTTGTATCAGCAAAAATACTAATGTACTAGTTTTACAAGTGAATAGTATTACTACTCAAATCTAAATAGATAAATGGTTTAGTGTAGAATTTATCTGTCTGTCATGAACTCATGATAATTGCCAACTTAGAGCTCTCTATTATCACTATATCTGTGTGAGTTTTGTAAGAAACCAGATCTATCGACATAGATACCTGACTGACCCAACTAATATAAGTACTCCATTCATTTGATCTTGTAACTGCAGAAGACATTGCTGTCCCTTTAAGTAAATTTTGCCAGCGTTACAGGATATTATAAAACTGTACTCACTCCGTCCAAAATTGAGTGTTAAATTGATTCCATACGGCCATACTCTCGTCACCACCCAGCAAAATGGGGTATGTTTGGAAAATCAATATTAGTCTATTTGTTTTTAAGGAAACGTGAGATCTTTCTACTGAACACTCCATGAATTGTGACTATTAGTTCTGGATGCAGTAGCTATTTTTGGAGCATAAATACATATAGTACATGTCAATGGTTGCAGCAAGTATATGACCCTTTTCAATTACTGATAATATTTTTTTTATGCTTGTATTTCATAGGTCTATCACTAAGGACTCAAGAGCTTACAGCTATAAATCTATTTGTGAGACTCCTATCCAGCCTTTCAATCCGAGGGCAAATACATGTTGTACTCGATTCCCTGAACCTTGTAGCTACTTTGTGGGTGATGTATATGATGCGGTTCAAGTTGAAATCAACTTACCTGCAAGAACTAGACAATATGCCCCTGCTCTACGTGGTAATTTTTTAGTCTATTTGTCTTGGTTTTGCCATAATGCCTTGTTTTTTTCCCTTTCCTTTCTTCAGTTTGTATGTCTCAGTACTCAAAACATTTATGCAGTACCTAAAACTAATCATGGAATGAGCAAATATCATACTATGCAGTATGTTCTGTACATAATTATTTTTGAAAAACCTTTCAGGTTTTCACATTTGAAAACTGCTTCTTATATGTCATCATGTTCAACAGTATGAAGTTAATCTGACACTAAGGAGTTTTTTTTCCTTGATAAACCTGTTTTATTTTGTAATATTGGCATTTGACTGATGGATTATATTTATAGTATCTTATAGATCAATATAACATCTCTTCATGAAATGTACAATACAAGTATATGTAATGGTTGAGGAAATGTCACGATGTTGCTTATTTTACTCTTTGAACTGGTAATTGATGAAAAACATAAACTCTTTACGGAAACTCTAAACTATGAATGATGATTACTTGTGAAATACTAAATTAATGATTTGTCTTCTTTCACACTTTTAGTATTTTGGGGTATTTTTGGAAGGTTTTCATCGCATAAGTAAAAATTAATATCTATGTTTACTGTTTTATTTTGTACAGTTAGCTCCTTGTGCTGTTGCTGCATTATTAGCACATCCTACAGGACCTTTTCCATTGCTTATTCGGTGGATGTGGTCATTCTGCATTTCGGTTGAAGCTGTTGCTGTTCTTCCCCAGCTTCGTTTGATGCAGAACGCAAAGGTAATTCTTAGTAAAATTGGTAGGTAGAGAGCTTCATAGTATGATAAGTTAGCAGTATAAAGAGCTGAAGATTTCTCTTTGATAAGAACTCATCTTACACTGGAGCACTATAGAGGCTTTTTTAAACAAATTACCTTACTACACAGTTGTGTATCAGTGGCAGACTGGCTGTGCAATGCAGCAAGTAGCGGAGAGTTTATAAAATTAAAATTAAAAGTACTCTTGTACATATTGTTTACATGGCATTAAATGTAATAACGTTAACATACGTATTAGTCTTAGCTTGATTTCAAAGATAAAAGAATTTGGTTAAAGCAAAAAATGATTGGTAATGTACTCAATGGAGTATTGTTGTATTGTGATTACTGCCTTTAGGATTAGAGTAACATCTGAAGCATTGTGCAATGCTACATGTGACACAACTTCTTCATTGGTTTTTTGCAGATGGTTGAACCTTTCACATCCCATTATGTGTTTGCCTTGGGCGTCTCAAGGTTCATGGGATGTGCTAATTGGATAATTCAGGTTAGCTTCCTGACTCCTGAAAAATTTCTGCTTATCTTTGGAAATTAATTTGAACAACACTTGCTGCTTAATCTTTGTATGGCATTCCCTTTAGTATCATGTACTTCTCTCAGTAGATGTTCAGGCTTTAAATTCGGAATCAGTTATGTATTTGTTATATTTGTTTTTTGAATTCTGAAGAAGTCGTAGCAGACATTTCATCCTCGCCAACAATTTTAGTTGACAGTGTCCTGTGTCCGCTTTGCTGCCTATCTAGTTAGCATGACATGAATCTTGATATGTAACATTTGAAGGGTCTCCTTCGCTAACTATATGTATTGTAACTTATACAGCTTATTGAGACCAGAGGCGTTCACCTGATGCTTATAGGACAAGGACATATCTGGATACTGTTGGCTCTTGTTGCTGAATTGGTTCATACATTCATCTTGGCTGATTTCTGTTATTACTATGTTAAGGGGTAAGCATTGGGAACTTAAGTATCTTAATTTCCAGTTATCTGTTATTATAAGGTGAAAAGTGTTTGTGTACTCCTCTACTTCTGAGAGTGCTGATTACATAATCGATATGGCTAATGATGAGTCGTATTCTTGTGGTTTGACAGTGTCATGGAGGGGCAGACCATAATGAGCCTACGCTCATTAGTTTGAAGGTTTGGATACATACGTGGTTGCTAGCTTGTTACAATAAAAGTCTGGTTGAAGCAGTAAGAACAAAAACCTGTAAGTCAAGAAGGAAGGAAAATATATAGGAGTATGACAACTTTCTTCCCTGTTATTGTTTTTTCAAAGGGGATTGTTCGGACTCCTCTGAAGTATTGTTGCTTTGACGGGACTTGATTTTACTAACCATACAACAAAGCTTTCATTGTTGGGGCATCGCCCCTCTTGTTCACCAAAAAATAAAAAGCCTTACTTCACTGTCATACGAAGTTTGCACAAGTAGATTCTTGAATGTATCTCATATAAGGGTAATTATTCATTTGTTTTCGGCGAAAATTGTCCAGGTAGTAAAGAGCAACATTACTCTAGACTCTAGTACAACAACAATAGAGAGAAAAGTTCTTGATCTCCCTTGAGTTTTGCCTTGTGTTAACCTTTCCAATCTTGACCACCAAAATCACTTTGTATGAGGTGATAAACTTTTAAACTGGTGATTGTAAGCTCATCATTTTCTTCCTATTCACGACACTGTAATATTAAACAGGATATAAATAATTTTAGCAAGCGGTCTTATAACGTAAGTGAATCTAAAAATGAAGAGCTCTTTTTGTACGAAATTAATTTACCTCTTGATATAATAATAACAAAAGTCTGCCAATATGAAAGTTTGAACAATCTCAGCTACCAATATTAGCAGTATATAAAAATGTCCTCTGCCTGCTAACACTAGATATGTTCCACCGGTCTCGTATATCTATATATTCAACAGAGTTTATTAATCTTATCTTTAATTGTATACTATTATATTATACGTTAATAATGTATTAATTTCAAGCAATTCAATTCATAGTAGATTGGAAGGGTGAAAATTGTTAACCTTAAAGATCCAATGAGCACATCCCACGAACCTTGAAATACCCAAGGCGAAAACATAATGAGCAGTAAATGGTTCAACTATCTGAAGTATAGCATAAATTCTCAAAGTTTTAGTAGCATAATAAAAAATTTGGTAAGTAGTATAATAAGTAGTACTGTATTGTATATATGTACTTCCTCTAATTTAAGATGAAATGGCAACAAATTAATAGGTTTAAAGTGAAAATAAAACCTTTGCGTTTTGCATAAATCGAAGTTGAGGCAACACTGAAATGGCTTCAATGCACAGACAAAACGACCAGAGAACACGAGCAAAAAGAGGCCAAAGCGATTGAGGATGCACTAATATTGATAGGATGCCACAAGGAATAACCTGTAAAACATCATCGTTTATTAATCAACTCAAATCAACAAACAAGATTTTGGTCAAGAAGTTGTGGATAAGACGCTTAAAAGCAGAGGGGGTAGGTTAAGGAATAAATCGACAACAATTAGTATAGCAAAATCATACTATTGTTGTTGAAATACTTTAATGTCTCACAGTATAAATAGAAAATAATTACAAAATTTAAGTAATAGACAAAGTGAAGATTATATTACCACATAGTAGAGGGGCATGGTGTCGAACTCTTTATTGTAAGTATAAGTCAACTTGAATCGTAACATATAAATCACCCAGATAGTAGCAGCCAGAGTTCAGGAGTCGAGAAATGTATGAATGTCACCTTCAATCATAACACTACATACAAGTCTTGCAGCTAAAAATATAGCTGTTAGTTCTTGAGTTTTTAGTGACAACCCTGTTGTTATTTTAGATGAACTACTACAAGAGGGGGGTGAATGGTAGTAGGTTCCAATCGCGAAACTTATGCGGAAATTAAAAACAAAACGTAAAGGAACTTAAAGCACAAAGCAAGTTTTACGAGGAAACCATCCAGTGCCTAACTGGAAGTAAAACCTCGGCCCTATTGGGACTTATAAACAAATTCCACTATAATAGGCAACTCTCCTAGTACAACCTATTACACAGACCTTTGCTTTGCAAGTTCCGCCACGGACACTTGACTCTATGATAGGACACTTCCTACCAGACCTAAGACACTTCTCAGGACCCTTTTTCTCCCTTTACCCAGGAAACTTCCTAGGTGACCCAAGACACTTCTCAGGTTCCTTTCACTCACTGTGCACTCACAGCTACCACTCGAATTTTACCAGATTTCAAACTCATACACAAGCGTGAATTTAAGAGAATTCACAATCTCACCCCAAAATACAAAACACTCAAAACCCTTTTTCCCATTACAAGATCTCATCGAATATCCCTAAATACATATCTATGAATAAAGAGATAAAACTAATATGTTGAACACTCAAGATCTGTCTGGAACTCACTAGACGTACTGTAACCAAAAACCTGATAGGAACTTTGACCAGGAGGACTGACTTAGCTTCGTGGTGAAGGATAAAACCATTAAGCACGACCACTACACTTCGTCAGCCTCAACTTTGAATGAATGCATATGAGCATATTTATAGTACACTCGAATTATTCATTTCATCTTGAAAAAGATAGATTTTCTGAAAAGATAAGTTTAAAAGATATTTTCTAAAAATCAGTTTTCCGAAAATATATCTTTTTGTTAAGAATAAAAACTGTCAATAATAATAAGATAAACTTAGCATAAAATCAGATTTTATTCAAAACTTATCTTTTTGTTTAAAATACTTTTTAAACAATCTTATCTTTTTCCAAAAGGGATTTATTAGAAGATAAATATCTTTATTCAGTAAAACCAAATCCCTAAAAGATATGCACGTATAAGGTAAATATATATATCATTAAAACCGACTTTTAACGACGTTCATACTTAAGTTCCTATTAGGTTCCTGAACTCTGACAGTCTCTGAGTTCCTGACAAGTCAGTTACTCTAATTTCATTGACTGTTTGGAATTCACCTTGGTTCTATATAGACTTGTTCCAGACCGACTTTTATGTCCAACATACTTACATGAATCCTAGAGCAATATACTTCTATTTCTCTGTCTTCATGTTGCTTCTCTGAAACTCTTGTTCTGGAATCCTGTAGTCTTGATATATTCTGGATCTTAGGGTTTTCCCCAGCATTACACCGAAACCAGGTCGTTACAACCCGTTTTGAAGTTCCTGTTAAGAAACTTCTGGAAGTTCCATTTCTGGAACTCTTCTTCTAAATTTACTTGTATCCTCATGGATCCTCTAAAGTTCCTCTGTTTCAATTCCTACTTCAGCCCTCAACGCTTACTGAACCTGCAAACATCACAACACTAGAAAATCCTTATTAAATGGAAGTTTGCTCAATTCTTAACATCATCATCAAAACCTCATAAGGATCAACAAGTTGTCCCTTTTTGATGATGACGAACTGAGCAAACTTCTGAGAATAACAAAGTAAAACAGAAGGTTAGTTTTTTATTTATAAAAACAATAAAGAAAACTAAACTAAATTAAAAGACTCCTACACATACATAACCTATATATGTATAGGATACTTACCTTATGAAGCTAACATATGTAAACACATGTTTACATAGTTACCTTCATGGTCCCTTAGCCATCATCATGCTTATCAACCATAACACTTATCGTTGTTCTTGTTCCTCTATTGCTTATCCTATATTGCTCAAGTTCCTTACATATATACCTGTCATTACTCAGGTTCCTTGTATCCTGTTCCAAGCATAATTTGCTTTTTCTATGCACAACTTAACATACACGTTAGATAGATAATCATCATTAGTTTATAATCATCAAAACCTAATTGCTCAACAATTTCCCCCTTTTTGATGATGACAAACTATTGATGCTCATCACATATTAAAGGATAATCGTTGTACATTTATTCCCCCTTAGTTTTTCAAGGAAATAACATTTAAACAAGTTAAGAACATACACAAGAACTTAATAGTTAGGAACTTAGCAATACACATCATTTATCAATATATAAATACTTTCAACAATCATGATGTAATAACTTTAGACTTAATTACTGCATACCATAAGCATCATACATATTCTTCCCCCTTTTGTCATTATCAAAAAGGGTATTGTTCCACACGTTTGTTTTTCGTAAATTATATGCACTTAAAGTCATATGTCACACCTACCACCATATAATAAGTAAGTATATACTAGTTAAACACTTGTTGTTCCTAAAAGCCTCAAGGTACTCACTTTTCAAACACGGATACCATTTCCACACTAACTTCCAACTCACAATCCAAAGGCCCAACTTCAAAACCCTTAATTGAACTTGACAAATAAGAAGTTAAAATTCAAGTAAAGATCAGAGCTAAAAAGTTAGAAATGGATTGCATGAATAGACCAATTAAAGCGCAAGCTTAAAGGATATATAAAGAAGCATATGGAACAAAATAAGTAGAGGGAACGTGAAGTGGAATTTGTGCTCTTCGTTTAAACCTTTTGAGATGAGAACCGCCACATTGTACTTTATCTCAAACTCTTGAATCTCCTATTGAACACAACACATATTCATCTTGCCAATTGATAACCAAGTTCCCTTACCTTAACCACCAACTTCTTTGAGGAACATTCTCCATACTGGAACTTAAATAGATTTCAGTTTCATCATAATCAAGTTCCTTCGTCGTTTATTATTGTTCCTTCACTAGCTCACCAAGTATACGAGTACACGACATCAACATAGTCAACATTCTTCATATATAGATACCCAGGAAATTAAATATTTGATCACCCTTTTTCCTTTTCTTTCTCTTTTTTTTTTTTTTATTTTTTAAAGGGTGTCATTATACAAATTTTGCATGCTTTCCTGGAATAACACATTTTAAATCAATGAAGATATTACTCACTCATACACTTGAGTTCCACAACCAGATCTGAACCATTTTGATTTCTTGGTTCCTACCTTATTCCCCCTGAGTCCCTTACCATTCTTCTTCCTTTATCTTCAACTTCCTCCTCAACATATAATCACCATTTTTTATGTTTCATCAAATCATTAAAAATCATAAAAAGATGATCAACAAACTTAGAGCACATGGGAATTAAGAATAAGAAGTAAAAGTGTGTGAACGGAAAGAGGAAATTGAATTGGGTGAATAAGAATCTTCAATTTTCTAAATATAAGACAATTAGAGTATATGCAACACAGACACACAACTTAGAGTTGTAGAATAATGTTGTGATCGAAGATATATGGTGTGGATGCTTGAAAGTTGACTAAAAGATAGGTTAGTTCCCTCTGAAATTTAAACAAGTGAGTTACAAACGGTCTGGGAACTTACCTGTCTTGTTCCACCAAAGTTTCTTCCATTGTTCCTTTGGCAACTTAGGAACTTCGTGTTTGACAGCACCCATAGTTCTATTAAGAGACCTCTAATACTATTAGGCAAGTGAGTATGTCTTTTACAACACAAGAACTAAGTGTGACACATAAACAATAAGCGCACATTCTTTACTTTATGTTTAACATGCATAGGAACCCCAACTTGACATAACTTAAGGGAAAAAT